ATCCATCCTAAAACGCTCAGATGGCCTATACTTGGTTGAGTGCTTAATAATGATTCTATACCTTACAGGGCCCTCTCTCTGTATCAAGATCAAATGAAGAAGGGCTAAAAGGATCAAATAGGAAGGTGTAATCCTTCCCACACTCCGGCAGCCTAGCCTCTGCATAGCCATTAACCCTTTTGGGGAGGGCTACCAGGCAAGGACTCTCAATTTTGTTAACTGCCACCTTCACCACACTCTGGGATAAAACATCAAGCCCTACCATTTTTGCTCATTCTTTTCTTTAACTGCCTGCTTCATCCCAAAGGTGCACAGTCTCTGTTTACTCATCACGTCCCTCTGTAAACCCCCCACTTCGCCTCTCAAGGTATAGTTCTGCTCTCTTAGCAAATCACTCTTTACAGTCTTCTGATTCTTCCTCCTTCTTTTACTATACCGGGAGCAGCATTCTAATTGGAGGCATTTTGCCCAGGAACAGAGAAACATCCAATATACCAAACTTGAGAGTGCCCTGGGATCTCTGTTCTTATTTGCCTTCATGACCACAAACTGAAAGGTTTGCTTGTGGAACAGCAACAACAAACAAACAAACAAAAAAACAATAGAAAGGAGATGAAGGAGCAAGAGTTCTACATGAAGTGAAGCTGACTACATATATAATAATAGGACTAATGATCTTTGGAGTAAATAGACAAATGATCTAATGACAAAGAGCATTAGTAGTAGATCTTTCTTCTTGGAAAGAATGAGGTTAAGAATGATGTTTACTTTCTGCTACAGTTAGTCTTTGCTTTACTTTTTTTTCAGCAAAGAACATTTAAGTATTTCTTGTGTGACCAAGAAAAAAAATCTACTATTGTTGTTTGAAGGAAAAACTATAAATATCCCCTTAAAGTTCCTCTGTGTTTATTTATTCTATATATCCATGTCTGTTTGCATTCTTCTCATAAGAAAAGGATTCTTTTTGTCTTTGGCAGTTCTGACAGCACTGGACATAGGGAAGGAAGGGAAGGTCCAGGCATTTTCCTGGAGGCTGGATGCTGTTTGCATGGAGAAAATAAATTCCAGGAGTCCTGTAGGAGAGGTCTAAACTTCCCAGTGGAAAATCAGAGGCAGCTTCTATAGTCCTTCCCCCTCCCCACGTCGACCCTACACAAGTTCCCTACAATCTCTGAAAGGATCCCTCACCCCTCATCTCTGAAGACTGAAATAAGCTGACTGAAATAAGTCAGTTTAGAAAAGGTTGAAAATGATTAGGAACAGTGGTGTGATTCAGTGGTAGGACACATGGTTAGAATGCACACTAGGCCCTAGGTTCATTCCCCGTCAGCAGAAAATAAAATTAAAGTAAATGAAATAAAAGGAAAAGAGTGAGAGAATAGTAACAACTATAGCCTGCTGGGTAAGTAGAATAGTTATACCCACTTGGATGTTTACTACAAGTGTGTTTGTGGTGGGGTTCCTGAGTACCTGGATTGTAGATGTCCACTCTGGATATCTCCACCAGAAGGAACGCACCTAAAATGCCAATCTAGCCAACGAAGGTATTTAAGGAGCTCCAAGATGACTTTCTGGGGATGTGATGTAGATGATTGTCAGACAAGCTTATATTAGACATTCAAAAAGATCTATCCTCAGTCACTTTTGTCTTTCTTTTGTTAACCTGGAAACCAATGGCCAGAGAGGTGAATACACATCTACTTGACTCCAGACAAAACTTTTCAACGAAACTTTAAGACTCTGCTGACACCTTCTGGTATTTCATTTATAAAAAGAAGCATTCTTCTCTCACCTACTGCCCTTTAGTTTTATCATGCTAAGTGAACTTGATCTAAAAGATAACAGAGAAAAGGGGATTTCTGAAGAGACCATATTCTGTATAGAGGCACATGTGGGGACAGCCTTTGAGTGAACATACCCTCTTTCTTGGGGGTAAGCCTGACTCTAAAATTCTTACTGTTCCTTTGCTCTGAGACAGCTCTCTGTGCTCTTGGGTAAGGCCTTTGACCTTACTTTTATCACTGCTGGGGGAAAAAAGCAGCTACTAACCTACCCAGGGCCATTTAGGGTCTCTGAGGTTGCTGGTGGCATCTGCTACTAACTAAAGCATGGATCCATCACTGGAGTGTTAACCTCAGAGGTCACTCCCAGTGACCTTTCCATTTTAATAAACAAGGTTCTTCACTACCATTCCATTTTCAAAAGGTAGATGAATGCTTTCTAAGACTGTCTAAAGCCCACCATGTCTAACGTTTATTTCTAAAAATAACTGAATTAGGATTCTTACTCTATTCTCTACTATTTTCCTCTTTTGAAAGTAGGACTTGGTTCTATGTTTTGGAACACGTTTTGGAACAGACCTTCAGATTTAGAGAACCCTTTTCAGCTAATGCCAACCAAATTATTTGTTTTTTTGGGTTTTTTTCCTGTATGGTCTTGGGAAACTCTGTCAGCCTGTGGTTTTATAGGCCAATAACAGGATATTTGATCATCTCCAGAGAGTTATAGTCCATATTCAGATGGACAGAGAAGAATTCTGCCAATGAGGAATAAGTGAAATGTTTCTCTAACACTGCTGTTTCCTTTCTTCTTCCTTCAGCATCCAGACTTTACCATTGCTCTTGCTGAGGCTACTATTTACAATTCTTAAAAAGCAGCCTTTGCTAGGTACAAAGGGAAACTTACCTCTTTATCTTCCATCAGAAGGACTGGAGCACAAAGGGCTGATGGAAAACTCTGTTAGATTCACACTGATCAGAGTGTTTTCAATCAAAAACATTAAAATAGTGAGTATTAGTGAGGGAGTGGAAAAATTACCACCTTTGTTTCTGTTGATTGGGATGTAAAATGGTACAATGGCCATGAGAAACAGTGCAGTGGCTCCTCAGACATGTGAAACTTGATGACCATAAGATCTGGCAATTCCACTTTTTGGTATTTATCTAAAAGAACCAGAAATATACATATACCAGTGTTCACAGCAGTATTACTCATTATATAGTAAGCAGAATGGAAACTACCCAAGTGACCTTTGACAGAAGAATGGATAAAGGAAATGTGATGTTTACATAAAATGGAATTAGTAACTCAGCCTTTAAAAGGCAAGAAATTTAGACACACCTTAAAACAAAAATGAACCTTGAGGTCATTATGTCAAGTAAAATAAGCCAGTCACAAAGGACAAAACCCATATGGTTCCATTTACTTGAGGTTTCTAGAATAGTGCAAATCATGGAGAGAGAAGGTAGAATGGTGGTTACCAAGAAAAGGTGAGGATGGGGAATTACTGTCTAATATGTGAAGAGTTTTAGTTGTGGAGATGGAAGGGTGGGATGGTTGTACAACAAATTGAATAATACCAGGATGTCATCTGAAAATGTTGGAAGTTGTTAATATTATGTACTTTACCATAAAGAAAAGAAATTTTATGGAAGTCTTAAGATTCAGTCATTACATCTGACCTTTACAAAAAAAAAATCATGTTGTCATTGGTGGCCTATACTTGTGATCTTAGCTACTCAGAAGGCTGAGATCTAAGGATCATGGTTCAAAACCAGCCAAGGCAGAAAGATCTTAAAGATTCTTCTCTCCAATTAACTAGCAAAAAACTAGAAGCAGATGTGTGTCTCAAGAGGTGGAGCTCCAGTCTTGAGTGAAAAAGCCAAGGAAAAGTATGAGCCCCTGCTTTCAAGCCAACACACTTACACACACACATAAACACACAAAACTAAATTACTCTTCCATAAAGAATTCAATCTTGTCATTGGAAATATAATGGACAGGCCTGGAGGACACTATGCTAAGAAAATGAAGCTGTAAGGTAGACACAGACGACAAATACTAGCAAAAATAAAACAAAACAAAACAAAAAACCCAAAAAATTAAATAACTTAATTGCTAAACCTGGTGATATTTACAGTGCTGTCCAATAGAAACTTCCATGATGATAAAAATATTCCTTGTCTCCAATATGTAACCATCACCCATGTTGGTCACCATGTTGGCTTTTGGGTACTTGAAATAAAAATGTAACCGAGACACTGAATTTCATATTTTTCACTTTCACTTCAAAAAGTCATATGTATACAGTGCAGGTAGAGTTTATATTCATATTACTATCTATTCTCTGTTATTTTCCGTTTCTCAGCACTTAGCCATAAATCTAACCCATCAGGTTATAAGTCTAAGAAGGTAAGAATTCAGTTTATATAAAGGTCACAGTTCTCTGGTATGGATGGGGTACAAAGCATGGTGTCGTGGGTATATAGCTTTTGTCAGACATTCATCAGCATCACTTATTGGATCCAAGAACAGAGCAGACCTTAGGTCATGTCTTAAGTACTACAATGCCCTTCTAGAGACCCAAATTCCTGTACTGCCATCCTCAATCTTCCTTCACTTTTCCTTGTAAATCAATGGAGTGATGGTATGAACTACAAATGAGGTCCAAGTCCTTAGACAGAAATATGTGAGCACATCACAGCTTGCGCTGAGCAGCCTGGCAGTAAAGGTCTCTTGCTTTTTAAGGCTTTGCTAGAAAACACAGATAAGGAAGATATGTAACAAGCCCAGATTAGGAGAATTCAGAAATACAATCAACCCGTATGCATTTATCTGCCCTCTGAAATGCGAATAGGTCAGCAGGTATGATATAGTATTGCTTAGAAAGAACTGAGGTTTCCAGCAAATGAAAACAGAACTTATATTTAAACAAGAAAGCTTGACAAGCCAGTCAGTAGGCAGCATGTTAAACCTAGTATTTTATGGCACTGTAGATGTCACATTTATCTTCATAAAAAGAATGAAAATTTTTTTATTAAGGCACAAAATATGAGCACCCAAAATGTAGATGGCAGTGTGGCAGGCAGGAGATAAAAACAGAGTTTATAGTCTCATTACATGAAATGAATATAACAGACCGTCTGATAAAAATCCACCATGTTTGGCTATAGCAGATCTACTGACTGAGACTGTTTTCTTCTTCTTTTTTTTTTTTTCAGCAATGGGTAGAAGGCCTGAGATCAATCATACATAACTTCAGGGCAAATAACGTCAGCCCTATGACATGCCTCAAGAAACAGTAAGTTAAGTTTCTATCACTCATCACTCTTGGAAATTATCACATGGTCCTGTTAGGAGATAAGAGTATTCCATATGTGGACAGGGCAATTCCTGCTTGCCTTCCTTTCTATGTTCCTGATCTTGATGGATGAATCCAAAGCTTCAGACCCATAGGAAACAAATAATTGCTGGCCAAAGCTCCTGGAACTCCAGTCACTCTAAATCCTGTGGATTTCAAGCATTGGCTTTTGTGTTGTAATACAGAGTCTTCTGATAGATAGATCTGTGTCTGGCATTGTCCATAGCCAGACACTGGGATGGCTCAAGCTTTCTCTGCATAAAACTAAGAAAATTTACTCCAGCCATAGTCCTTCTGCCCCCAAAAATTTTCAGGGCAAAAAAGGGTATTTTTTATAGTGAAATATACTGATATATAGGTTCACATGACTATAGGGTTTTGGAGCTTATACATATGCCAGCCCAGACTATATAATTGTTCCTAGTTTTTTAGAGTAGATATTCTTTATTACTAATTGAATTGAAACTCAAAAATTATGTTTTTGCTATTGTTTTCCAGCTGGATGAAATTGGCATTTATGACCAATACAACTGGAAAAATTCCAGTTAGGAGGTAAGTCAGTCTGTCTTGGCCACGCTCCCTGCCCTTGACCAGCCCTCATGACACCAGTCCCAAGACAGAGTCCTCTACAAGTGTGTGCTAATGATGATACCTCTGCAAGCTTATTTTGGATGTGTGTGTGTGTGTGTGTGTGTGTGTGTGTGTGTGTGTGTGTGTGGTGTGCAGTCTGTCAAAATCATAGATAGAAGTAAAGCCCCCTTCTATTCCCTCACAATAAGTAGTGTTTAAAAACCATCTGGGGCTGGAAAAGTGGCTCAGTGGTACAGTGCTTACCTTGCATGCATGAGACCCTGGGTTCAATTCCTTAGCACCACATAAGCAGAAAAATATGGAAGTGGCGCTGTGGCTCATGTGGCAAAGCGCTAGCTTTGAGCTGAAGAGCTGAGGGACAGCGCCCAGGCCCAGAGTTCAGGCTCCATGACTGACAAAAAAAAAAAAAAAGAAAGAAAGAAAAGAAAAGAAAACAAACAAAAAATCTGAAAACATAGTATTAGTTTACAATCTTTAAATAATTGGGCTTTCAAATTTTAAATTTCACTTGCCAGCTTGTCTGAGTAATCACCAGCAGAAATTAAAGTCCATACTGCGTCCCTGCAGTGGCAATGTGTGGACAGTTTTAACTAGTCTGTTGCATCTGGATGGGGCCTTCCCATTCTTGGCATTACTGTTCTTCTACTGCTCAGAGAAGACAGGAGCTGGCTTAGTCTTAGGTCTAGGTTGCTGTAATGAAGTACCATGGACTATGGAGTTCACAAATGAAAGAGTTTATTTTTCACAGTTTGGGAAAATGGAAGTCTGGGAGAAGGGACATGATAATTTATCCATGTTCTCTTTTTTGCTGTTTTTGTTTTCTTTTTGTCTATATGTCTTTGGGAGTATAAGGGCAAGCACAGAAATAATAGAGGGATAAAGGGTGAACAAATGCAACAATGTTGCTCACTGGACATTATGTTGAAAATGAAGTATATAACTTGTGAGTGGGATGGGAGGGAGAAAATAGGAGAGCGCGAAGGCAGGGGTGACATTATCCAAAAGGAAATGTGCTCTTTACCTGAATTATGTAACTGTAACCTCTCTATTTTTGGCATTTTCAAATGTTTTTTTTAAAAAAGAAAGAAAATGGAAGTCTGGGAGAAGGGATTCATGATCTGATGAGGATCCTCTTCCTGCTTGCAGACTGTTGTATTCGTGTAGGAAGAGGGATAGCAAGTTCTAGAAAAGCTCTTTTATAAGGGCTCTTCTCCCATTCAGGGGAGGAATCACCCACCTCCCTAACATTATCACTTCCTAAAGGCCTTAGTCCCTAAAGCCATCATGGTGGTATTAGGTTAGGATCAGATTAGGATTTCAACATCCCAGAGCTGCTAAGTCCTCTTTCACCCTGCCCCGTCTAAGCATGATACAGGTGAAAATTCAGGGAAGAGGAGATGAGCACAGATAGCAATGTGATGAACACAAATACAGACCAGATCTCTTTGTCATGCATTCCTGTCCCACCTTTTCTCTAAGATAAGGTTCTGGAAAATGGGCAAAGTGGGAACCTGTAAATTATGATCAGAGCATTTCTACCTAGCTTCATTCCCTCTGTCCTCATCAAACTGTGGCCTCACAAATCTCTTTTGATTGTGAGCATCATTATCTAGCATGTTCATACAACAAAATGATTGCTCCCCAGTTTGGCAGATCTAGCCTCCATACTTTGGAATCTTCTTTAGTTTTCTTTGACATTGACTCTTTGGTTCTCGCCAGTACTAACAGGTGTTTGACACAAAGCATCTGTTAAAAATTGGGGGTAGTTTGTTTGAATTGATAGAGAATTGATACCAAGCCAACAAAAAAAAAGCAAGTGACTCTCTTAGGAGATGAGCTGCCAAGGGTTAGGTGGAAATTGTTCTGAATGTTTTAATGGATATGAAGTGTAAACAGTTTTAAAATATCATTTAATCACTATCATTCTGGAGTTCTAAATGTGGAAACTATTAATATAATGTATATCATGTTAAAAGGGATCTGGCTTCACCATCGTTACAGAGTTTGGGAATAGCCCTTGCTCCTGGAATAGTAAACCAAAATCCAGTGACAGATAAAGTGGGTCTCATTGCATGACACAGCCTCTCTTCTTTTTTTCCCCCTTTTTTCTTTGAAATCAAATACCTTCCCATTCAAACCACGGTTGTAACAATAACTCTTTTCTTTTGCTCTCTCCCATCTCTTATGGTCTGAAATGGAATCTAGTGGCTAAGACATTGGGATCCAGGGTCTAGGAAGATGGGGTTCAATGGCTAGGGTGTTGAGTTATGGAGAACCAGACAATGGTTGTGGCCAATGGTTAGAGGGAATCCTAAAGGGCAGTGCCTCGGGTGTGGTCATGGCAATTCAATTCTATATGACCCATCCATGACCTGACACTCCAGAAGCCTGCGTGGAAGGTCTGATCCTACAGAGATGGTACTTCCAATTCCTTCATTTCAGCAAATGATGTGCCAACTCTACAGTATATGCAAACCCTGGGCAAGCAAGCAAAGAGTGGGGCTCCCTTGGTTTCTAGGGTGGTTGCTTTCTTAATCACTGACAAGGTCTCCTGGGATATATTTAGACTGAACTGTAAAAGAACTGGGTATAACTCAAAGGTATTTGCTGTTGTAATGATGTTCCTGTGTGCAAAGAATGGCTGTTTATCTTCTCCTACCCACAAAATTTCATGGAACACCTGTTAGCTATTTTGAAGCACTGAGCAAAACTCCGTGGATATGAGGCTGTACAGAAAGAGTTGGCTAACTCTCAATACTTTTATAAAGATGTCATGTTCCTAGGAAATGCCCCATGATGTCTAAAATGTCCCCAGCCTATTGTAAGTGTGTTTCTCTTAGAACACTGCTTAAAGAACATCTTCCTGAAAACTCAGGAAAATCACTTTCACCTCATACTTCCTACACTTTACGTGAAACTATTTTAAGACTCAAGAGTGAATCAGATAAGTGTCTGGAAGCAAGGAAGTAGATAACATCCCACAGAAATGGTCTGTTGACTTCTGTGCTCCATCCTGAGTATGTTTTCCTTTAAAAGTAAGGGGAGCAAATCTGTGGTCAAGCTCCCAAGCCCAGCCTGCCTCATGAAAAGCTAAGCATAAGAAGTCAGCCTCTCCCCACTTCCTCTCCCATTTTCTCCTACACTGTGCTCCTCAGTCCTATATCTTGGTACTGCAAGCACTTGCCAAAAGATTTTATTCCTCTGCACTCTCCCCAGAAGTGCTCAAGCACCATACTTAATTCATCCAGGCCATGCTGATCAGCCTCACAGAGACCTGGGTGAGCTGAAATACCCTTGAGATGATTATTCCAAGGTTCCCCGCAACACCTCCCCCCCCCCCCATGACAGATGTCTGATTCGGTTGTGCATCTGTAGGTCTTACGTTAACATACAGTTTTGTGAAGAAAGACACAGTGAATCACCACTTTCCGTAAATCAAAAAGGGCAGGTAAATAGCACCTCAGTGGAATGTTTAAACATTGCATGAACTCTCAAGACTGAGAAACTATGGACATGCCACCCTAAAAATCTGTTAATTAGTTTACCTGATATCAAGCACCTGTACCCTGCCATTTCACAGGCCTCCTAATATTTGAATACAGTGTCTCAAGCACTCTGAGGAATGTACTTCATAAAGAATTCCTGGACCTGGTAGGAAACAAGAAAGCTTTGAATGAACATATAATAATTCATTTACCTAATGCTGCTTCCTCCCCATCTATGTTGAGAAGCTGTAGCCTGCAGTTAAAGTGGTGCTTTCTTCCACTCACCAAGATTAACTGGCTGTCAGGGTTTATATTCACTTACCATGAATAATGTAACACATGAAAGCACTGGGCCTGAGACAGGGTTAAAAGAACCCTCTAGTATTCAGAAGACATTGCTAAGCCAGGCTTCACAGGTGACAGTCAGTTCCACCTTTGAGTCAAAGCTCTACTTCTGAATATAGACTTTGAGTGACCATGCTAGCACACCACCTAGGCCTTTAGTAAGGGTGTAAATAAAGGCTTCTTGGGTGAAGAAGGCACAGCTTGAAGCCAAGTATGAGTTTCAGGTACCAAATCCTCACCTGGATGAATTTCATTCTAAGTGTTACCAGCATTCCCATGGAGAGGGTCTCTTTTTGCTACTTTCACTAATGAGACAATGGTCAAGCTTTTAACTAGTCTTCTTATTCACTACAGTATTTTAAAATGTATTCAGAAATATTATGACTTGGGTCAGAGCTAAGATTCTATTGAAACATTGAATAATTTTTCCCTGCCCCTCTGTAACCTGTTACCTGTTACCATTGCAGAGTTCCTCAAGAGTGTTTCATTTGAAAATACGATTAAAACGTATCTGATAGTGTGTCACAATAGCCATCTCAGGCTAGGCTGAATTCTAAAGAGCTGCTTCTTCCAACAGGTTGAGATGTCAATTTTTTCATTTGTATCACTTATTCTAGAGTGCTGTCTCATCATTTCTTAGGATGAAAATGTTTATTGGTGGGTCGTTGGGAAAGCAGAGATAAGATGATGGTAATATAAGGTGATTCCCAGGAAAGGCACAAGACCCTATCTGAAAAACAAACTAAGAGGCAAACAGAACTGGTCATGTGGCTCAAGTGGTAGAACATTTACCTAGGAATTTCAAGGCCCTGACTTCAAACCTTAGTATTGCCACACACACAACAAAGTGCCATTATTTTCTCACAGTATGTATGTATATGTATGTATATATATATATATATATATATATATACATATATATATATATATGTATGTATATATATCCCTTCAGTTTTCCTCATGTTCACAAGTACTTGTGGTGCTTGTATTTGAATCAAGTAGCAGAACCGACTACCAGAAAACCAGAGACATGGGAGGGACTATATTGGGGTATGAAAAGCACCTACAAAGAGTAGCTTTATTAATCTGTTCTTTTCCCCTCAGTCTCCACATTTCTGGGATTCATTGGATCTTTATAGCAGGAGAAAGCAAAATGAACAATATATTGAAATTTTCTTTCCTTCTTTCTTTTTTTCCCTGCCTTAGTATTACTAGAACCTTTGCATCGGGGAAAACAGAAAAAGTGATATTCCAAGCACTCAAGGAATTGGGTCTTCCCAGTGGAAAGGTATTCACAGATTTAATAATGTTTTCCTAAAACCACATTTTTTGTTTATATTCTCGTTTTATGGTAAACCAGCTTCTTTGTATTAAGTGAATCTCCATTAGTTTCAGTTAATTTTCTCTTCTTCTGAGAATCCCAACTTAAAGTGTTTTAAAATTCAGCTAGTCTACTTCAAAAAAATTTTTTTTTAATATTTTGGTAGGTTGTGCGGCTTGAACTCAAGGCCTGGACACTGTCCCTGAGATCTTTTGCTCAAGGCAAAAGATCCACCACTTGAGCTACAGCGCAACTTCCAGTTTTCTAGTGGTTAACTAGAAATAAGAAGCTCATGGACTTTCCTGTCCTGAACTGTGATCCTCAGATCTCAGCCTCTTGAGTAGCTAAGATGATAAGCATGAACCACCCAGCTTCAAAATGGTTTTGTCATCTTTATTATGATAAGGAAACAAAAGACAGACTGGTATATTACATAGTTTGTGGACTATATGTCAAAGAAGCTCATCATCACTACCTAGATCAAGTACAACATCAACACAAATAATAAATAGGCTATGAGATGGCCTTGCAATATTTTCTGAAGTGCCCCTCACCAAAAAACTAACCAGATATGTTCATAGCCCTTCAGATTTAAAATAACAGAAATCAATGTATAGAGCACAAGAAAGATTTAAGCCTGTGACTTCATTTACAAGTTCTGTTTGAAAGATATATTTCAGTGTAACATGCAAAATCTCACATGGACATCCTAAGCCCCTCTATGTGATCTTCTGAAAGTCACATGGTAAGCATAATTAAATACAAGGCTTGATTTCAGCATCCTACCAGCTTAAGGAGAGATGGAGAAAATGGTTCTCTATTTATTTCTTGGGGGTGTTTCCCAGGGAAGCTGGTAGTCTGATGCTCACATACCTCCTCTTAGGCCTTGGCGTAACTAAAGGCACACATTAAAGCATGCTATGATCCAGCAGTGTGATCTAAAAGTTGGCCTCCAGGCTTCTGAGTTTCCCAATGGTCCACACTTTGCATCATGACCTTGTACATTGTCCTGCAAAGATAAAAGAGATTGTGTGATTAATGATGCTTTCTGTTCTTTACAGAACGATGAAATCGAGCCTGCTGCTTTTACTTATGAAAAGTTTTATGAACTGACACAAAAGATTTGTCCTCGCACAGATATAGAAGATCTTTTTAAAAAAATGTAAGTTTCAATTATGAAGAAATGTTATATAAATGTTATTCTTTTAGATTTTTTTGGAACACGTTTTTGCCAAAATATTTTAAAATAGCATGTGAGTACTAGGAATGTCAGGATTATATGTTCACCCTTTAGCTTCTCAAAGTAAAAGCTTACTCTGACTTTTTGAGAAACGTTGACAGAAATGAATTGCAGCACCTGAAACCTCCCCCCTCCCTTCCCCTGGCATTGGCTTTACTAACTACCTATAATTTTAACCTGCTCCTTTAGGTATTAACCCATGATGTGAACTAACTAGATCCAATTTGGAATGTTACTATGTTGTTGAAAAGTTCATTCATTCCAATTATCTCAAATGGATGACTTACATGTTGTTTTTAAAGTAATGCCTTTGGCTAATGCTAAAAAGAACAAGACAAAACAAAGAAAGACCTGCAGATATTTTCCGTGACTTGCTGGGAATGTCCTCTCTCCTTTGTCCTTGTGGTTGGGTGCCCTCCCTCCCCTTACCAAAAAGTCGCTGGTTCACTTTAAGAACTCACCACTACTTGAGGGTTAGAAAACTAAGATTAGAATTATGATCAACAAATGTCAACATGTAAATCGTACCTCTGTAGCATCATATACAAAAACTTACTTTTTTTAATAAATTTCTTTTCAGCAATGGAGACAAAACTGATTATTTAACGGTAGACCAATTAGTGAGCTTTCTAAATGAAGTAAGCTTTTTCATACATTAACTCAATAAAGTCTGTGTGCAGTGGCTTGCCTCCTTTGGTGTCCTCATTGCATGACCATGTCATCTGCCCTTACTTGCTTTGCTTCTCACCTGCTGATCTTTCCATGATGGCTTTACCAGGTGCAAAAATCAGCTGCTCCCTGTGTGTTCACATGCTGCTTATACTCTGGCTCTGCACACCACTTTCTGTTGGTTTCTTGCTATGTTGTGTAGCTCTGGTTCTGTGCATATGTGTGAAAATTGTAATGTGTTTATTTAATTAAATGTGTCTGTGTTTTTGCAAAATGATGTTTAAGGTTCATCTCATTAGAGAATGGATTGAATTTGTTGCACTGTAGTTGGATTCTCCATTACTAACTTTATCTCATACCTTTGCATGGACTGGAAAGCTTTATTTTTTGTCTTTTAATGGAATGCATGTAAGAAAAATATGTAGGTTCAATTAGGCTATTTTGACAACAAGCAAAACATTGAATTCTTGGGTGAAAATACACTTTTCAGCCAGTTGGATTGCAGGTTAAATTTTTACTTTTTATTTTTATAACAAGCTCAGAGCTAATTTTAGACCATGATTCACTTAACAACCGAAACGGTTGACAAAATTTGTTGAAGCACAAGGGGAAAAAATATTTGAGAACAAGTAAAGGCTGCAACTTCATTATAATTCAAATGAACCTTTATCTTTTACATGTACAAAGGAGTGTTTTTAGCGAAACCTCCCAAAATTTTTATTAATCCAAAACTAAGCATTCGTGTTCTTTTTCTAATACACAAACAATATGAGTTTTTGTAAAGGATTAGACAATATATTTGTGTTTCAAAAGAAGTTAAGCATCATACCATATAAAGAGAAGATGTTAGAAAGGCTGAGAGGGACAGAGAAATATAGCTCAGCAGTAAAACACAGGTTTAAAATGTACAAGGCCCTGTGTCCAATCCCCTAGCATTAGCATTAAAAAAAGAAGGGGAAAATAATATATTACTAGACATAAGATATTACCCTAAGAAAAGAGACCATGCAATCCTTGATTTACCACTCTGTAGAAACAAGTCACACCTTTGCCAAGGGTCTTCATAGGGGGTGGTACTTTAGAAACTGTCAACCAAAGTCTAAATGCACTTCTCCAAGAGAGAGAAGTGACTCCATATATCTGCATTTTAAATCATCCTTTCAGTACAATATTTATTTTACTAGAAAACATTTCAAGTTTTTCCACTCTGCTGGATTTTAGTCATGTGAATACTATGTTCATACTCTTTACCCAGATATTATCCACATTCTTATGCCACAGCTGCTCAGAACTTGAAATACCTTCCTTTATTTCCTTGAACCTCTTCCTCCTCATCCTTCTTCCTTTCGTTGTTTATTTGGTTTGGTTTGTTTCCTTCAGCTTCTTTGTGCACCGTGGTTCATGGATCATCTTAAATTTGGTGAGATGGGCAGCAATCCAGCTTCCTAATAAAGAAGAAAGATAAGATCAATAGAGATGAGGAAATCCACACAACATCCGTTTGTCACTTTGGGATGAAATTGGCTTCAGCCATTTATTAAACAGAGACCTACCTAGTGCATCTTGCTGTTTGCATGCAGAAGCATTTCCAAAGTCCAAGGAGAAGTATCACCTTATGGGCTCTTATCTGATGCATTTCCTCTTAAGGACTTTTTTTTCATTTTTCTACCTAATAATCAGTCTTATAATTCTTATAAGACTTAAAAATTTTTCAGTTTTAAAATTTATAAGCTTCTATTTTTTTAAATGTATTTAATTTGAAGAAAACATAATTCCCCTATATAATTTTTGTGGGGGTGTCAGTTGTCGGGCCTGAACTCTGGGTCTGGGTGCTGTCCCTCAGATCTTCAGCTCAAGGCTAGCGCTCTACCACTTGAGCCACAGCACAACTTCTGGCTTTTTCTGCTTATGTGGTGCTGAGGAATCGAACCCAATGCTTCATGCAAGCAAGGCAAGCCCTCTACCACTGATCCACCTTCCCATCCCAATTCCTCATTTTTTAAAAAAAAATTATTGTAATTATAAAGGTGGTATACAGAGGAGTTACTATTTTATAAGTCAGGTAACGAGTACATTTCTTCCCTGGCTTTCTCCCAGTTTTTCCCTCCTGTCCCTACCCACAAGGTATATAGTTCATTTTCAACAGTGTCTAGTCCCATATTTTTTGACTGACATTCATGTTCGTTATTAGGCAAGTTTTTATCTGTTGTTATTATTAGTTGGGTGGGACGGTTTGTCTGCTTGATATTGTTTAGTTTTTTTGTTTTGATTTTTGTCATGGCGCTTGAACTTAGCAACTGCGCTCTGTCCTTGAGCTTTTTTGCTCAAGATTAACACTCTACCAATTTGAGCCACAGCTCCACTTCCAGTTTTGAGGTCTTAATTGGCTAGCTTCAAACAGTGATCCTCAGATCTCACCCCTTGATTAGGTAGGATAACAGGCATGAGCCACCAGTACCTGGCTGCAGTTGTGTTTTATCTTTTATATTTCCTTCTATTATCCTGGTCCTTTGGGGATGAGACTGATGAAATTAGTTTGTGGTTCTCAATTTCTTCAGAGAACTTTATCTCACCTTTAGGTCAGATAGTCCAGAAAAAATGTATAGTCATTAATTTAAACAGTCTACCCTGAAACTGTTCCTTTTCTGTCTTGGGGAACTGAGCAGGAAAGACTAGGCAAAAAGGTGAGCATCTCCTCAAAGAAACGGTCAAGCCCAGGGAGTATTCTGCCAGCTCCTTGCATGTCCTTTATTAAGTTCAATTAGTCATCCTTTAATCTCAGTGTTAAAATGCACAATCTAGTTGGGTTTTAGTGGCTCACACATGTAAGTCTTGCTACTGAAGAAGTTGAGATCCAAGGATTTTGGTTTGAAGCCAGCCTAGTCAGGAAAGTCTGTGAGACTCTTACTTCTAGCTAGCCAATAGAAAGTGGGATGTGGAGATATGTCTCAAGGGGTAGAGTGCCAGCTTTGAGTGAAAACACTAAGGAATAGTGCCTAGTTCCTGAATTCAAGTCCTAGTAACAACATGCGTGTACATGCATGCGTGCACACACACACATACACACACACACACACACACACAGAAAATAAAGAATCTAGCCCTGCTGAGTCAGAATCTGCATTTAACAGGATCCCCATTTAATAAGATTAAAGAAAGAAAAATTGATTTAATAGACATTTGTCTGCACATGAAAGTTTGTGTAGCACCATCTAGTGGTATGCCTAATATGAATGGAAGAACATGGGAGTAGTAGGTATATATTTTCTGATTTTTCCCATAAAGAATTTAGTTAAGGAAATTCACTCACACCTAAAAAAATTGCTACAGATTTATCTCTGCATTATATTCAATGGAAAGAAGGAGATTCCCATTACCAAAATTATTAAAATATCCAACTCGAGTTAAAGAAGAGCTAGTGGAGGCATTTGCTGGGTGCTTCCACATGATTAATTCTAATCTGATGCCTGCATATGTCTAGACTTCAGTTGGTTTCACCTTCTTTTTCCCTGTCCCTACTAAAAAGCTAAATTGATTGTGGTGTTGCCTTCTATTTGATTTCTTGCAGAGATGAGAACATCTAAGGTCCTGGAGAACTGAGGGTTTCTGAGAGTTTTGTTTTGACATGGATCAAAATTTTATAAAAGAGAGGGAACAGATCCTAGATGGCCACATTGATCAAGAATGGGCTTTATTTTCCCCTTACTAAGTATTTTCCTCCTATGTCTCTCTCTCTCTCTCTCTATCTCTCTCTCTCACACACACACACACACACAGATGATCACATCATGATTAAGCCTTATTGTTTTTCAATTTTCTAGTTTTACTGTTGGAAGTACATAAGAAAGGACCCACGATACCTTTTTCTTTAGCAATATGCTTATTCTTTATTTGACAGACACAGAGAGAGGAGGAGAAGGAGGTATACTACCTTATGAGTAAGCTTACAATTTGCCAAATATTCCTTTCTCATAACATCTTTTTTCCTGTATTACTTATATTAACGTCCATCCCTCCCAATCCCAGTGCTACTTGTATTGATGCCAGTTACTGCTTTTTCTTAGTAAAAGTAAAGACAGTTGTAGGGACCTGTCCATTATCTATCTACTCATTTACTCCTTTTTGAAGTTATTTAGAGTATTATTTTACAAAGCACTGGATACCAGAGGATGAATATCCCGAGTATATCATTTATCCAAGTGGAAACTGATAATCCCTCTCTGAGTCCTGCAAAGCATTTGCCTCAAGGTGCTACATCTAAATGGAACTTTCTATATCTTGTTATCCCCAGATCACCTGAACATGAGCTCTTCCTCCTCATTATTTATTTTCACATAACACTTACAGTTTTGTGCCATTAATGTAACCCTATCACTTGTCTCTCTACCTTTGGATTGTTCAGATTGTGCTTATCTACCTTCTCAGAATGTGAAAGTTTTAGGGAAATTAGGTTATCTTTTTTTTTTCTGGTCCTGGAGATTGAACTCAGGGCCTGGAAGCTGTCCCTGAGCTTCTTTTGCTCAAGGCTAGGGCTTTACCACTTGAGCTAGAGCTACAGTTTTTTGTTTGTTTGTTTTTTTTTTCTGAGTAGTTTATTGGACATGAAGAGTCCCGTGGACTTTCTGGCCTGGACTGGCTTCAACCTAGGATCTCCAGATTTCAGCCTCCTGAGAAGCTAAGATTATAGGTGTGACCCACTGGCACCTGGCAAATTTTTAAACTAAGGGTTATTGATATAATCATTATAGGACTTGGGTTTCCTGGCTGTAGCTTCTGGTAGATAGTTTAATGAATACTAAGTATCTAGCTATCTCTCTTTTTTTTTTTTTTTTTTTGGTCATGGGGCTTGAACTCTAGGCCTGGGTGCTGTCCCTGAGTTCTTCAGCTCAAGGTTAGCGTTCTACCACTTGAGCCACAGCACCGCTTCTAACTTTATTTGTCTTTCCAATCCAAGCTTTTATTTCATATACATTACTATGTTTAAACTCAAATTCTAAGACATATTGGAAGGCTGTATTCAATTTGATATTTTTATTATAAGTTTTTTATTGTGGAAATTTCTGTTTATGTGGTGCTGAGGAATCCAACCCAGGGCCTCATGCATGTGAGGCAAACACTCTACCACTGAGCCACCTTCCCAGCCCTCTAGCTATCTTTTAATAGGGTTTAATTGGGAGGACATTTCAAATGATTAGCCCTATTCTGGTAGGAATTAATTATTTGGATTTTTTTTCCTGCTAGGAATTAGTTATTTGGATTTTTTTCCCATAAGTGTTAAATGTGTTTAAGATGCAGGCCATTACAGGTTAAGGCAGTGCTTTCTTAAACTTGAGTAGATCAGGATGACAGGAAATGATGTGTTTCACCCTAGAGAATCAGTCCTCTGTAGCTGTGGGGGGCAGGGCCTGAAATCTACATTTCTAGCAAGGTCTCAGGTGATGGTAGGATGGTATTGCTAACATTCACAGACCACACTTCAGGTAGCAGCACATTAGACCACACACATGGATAGGTGTAAAAGCACACAGACAAGTTTGACTTCTTTCTTTGCTTTTCCCTAACTTTATCACTTCTCTCTCTTCTAGTGAATCCCTTCTGTCTCTTACTTTTTAATTTGTATAGATTTACCCCATCTGCTCCATGAGTCTACTTACCAAAGAGCACATCTATAAATCAAAAGACTTAATTTTAATATGGAAGAGAAATAAAGTAACCAGGTGTGAACTTCACTGTACCAGACTTTAGTAGAAAGGATTCTTTTCCTCACTTCTTCCATAATATTGTGTATGGTAGAAGGGATGTGCTTAAAAGAGGTTTTAATTTTTATATATTTGGGTTTTTTTCATTTTCTTTTTTTTTTTTTTTCTGTGCTGGTCCTGGGGCTTGAACTCAGGGCCTAAGCACTTCCCTGAGCTCTTTTGATCAAGACTAGCACTCTGCCACTTAAACTATAGCTCCACTTTCAGCTTTTTGGGGGTTAATTGGAGTCTCATAGAGTCTCACAGATTTTCCTGACCTGGCTGGCTTTGACCAGAGATCCTCATCCTGTGTAGCTAGCATTATAGGCTCGATCCACTGGCACATGGCTTTATTTGCTTCTAAAATAATTTCTTCTCATTCAAAGTAGAGCTCCTTGTTCCCTTAAATGATGGGTTCTAATGCATGGGCACATCCTGTTTCCCAGCTAGGTACAGCATGCCCTTCCTTGCCTGGCATCCCATGATCCACTTAACAGTTTCTCCTCTTCATATCCCACTTTTGTACGTTATAGTCTCAAGACCTGTTTTAAGTTTCTTCTCTAGTAACTGCATGGATGTGAGCTACTGTGAGTCATAATTTTTTAGATCACAACAGAAGTATGCTTCATTGGGATAAATTGCCCAAAAGATATTGCTTCCTTATAAATTAAATTAACACTCTTAACTGAATTGGGCCACTTAGGAAATGACATCATGTATTCCCTGGTAAAAGACAGTCATTCCATGTGTAGGCCTCTTCAATTATCCCCAAACAAATGAGCCAGGAAAATTCATATGAACTTGTAATAACTGCTTCTTAAATACCTTCCCAGTAATGTTTTTCAAAGTCTGTGAATATATTTGGGTAAAGAGTTGTTGCTGAGACTCTATTTATTGACCAAGTCTTGCTCACATCTGTTTGTTAGTCATTATTCCATAAAAGTTTGCTTTTTTATTTATTCATTTACTTTACTAGTTGAAGGATGACCAGAGACAAGATGCAATCCTATCATGCACAGTGAAATATAAGGAAGTTTATGAACCCAAAGCCTACATATACACACATATGCACACACACACACACACACACACACACACACACACACACACACACACACACACACACACACACACATGCACCTGCATGATTGTAGTTAAGTAGTGAATGGACTTTTTACTATCTCAGAAAGTCAGAATGATATCACTGTCCCTGGTGTTTCCCCCAGTACCAGAAATACCTTAAGTAGTTATTGAAAAGGAGAATGTTGCCAGCCTCCCAAATTAGCTTATCCATATACTCTCTTTCTCTTTGTCTCTGTCTTTCTGTCTGTCTGTCTGTCTGTCTCTGTCTCTCTCTGTCTCTCTGTCTCTTTGTCTCTGTCTCTGTCTCTCTCTCTCTGCCTGGGCAAATTTTCAGGGCAAAATGAGTTACTTTATAGGGGCAAAAGTGTTTTTGAAGTACTGATAGTTAAATTCAGATTTTTATATGGCTTAGAGCTTGTACATATCCTTGTGCAAATTAATTTTCATTTTTACAATTGGTTTAATTTGAAAAATAATCACAAAAGCAAAATTTGCTGAGTGCCCAAGAAATGTTATTAACACAGAGAGATCAAATGTTACTTTCTTACATAATTCTTGGAGTTTTGTTGCTACTATTTTGGGTTTTCTTGGCACTTAAATTAGCATATGAGCGGTTTATATATATATGAAAGATTTTTTGATATCTTGCTTCTTAATTAAATTATTTTTTCTAATATTTAATATTTTACCTCACTTTATATATATATATATATATATATATATATATTTATGGCAAATGCCTTACTTATGGTATAGGAAATAGTAAACAATTTTTTTTTTAAATTTTTGAATGTGGAAAAAAATCCCACATTTCCATTCTTGGTCAGCAAGAGGAACCAATATAGGATTTCCAAATTTGTATTCTTAAAAATATATTTTAGGAGAAAAGATAGGAAGGCAATGAGTGATATCTGGTCTTTGTAATTAGATATATATGGGTTAGGAAATTATCTGCTTGCAAATATGAAATGCCTCTGGGTGAGCAATGTCAGCCTAAATGGAGTTGTTTTCTCATCCATCATAGCATCAACGAGATCCTCGACTGAATGAAATTTTATTCCCATTTTATGATGTTAAAAGGGCAATGCAGATCATCGAGATGTATGAACCTGATGAAGATTTAAAGAAAAAAGGTAATGAAAATAGATAAAAATGTTTCCTTTGAAACAAAGAAATATGAGGCTTTAAACACCTTTGGATTTTTTTCATTGAAGGTATCTTACATATTGTAGAGTTCCCCAAAGCCATGGAGTAGCCATCAAAATTGCTCCATGCAGCCTGAAATATGTTACCTGATATTTTGTATCATAAATTGAATATTATCATGCACTACAGTGATATTCCCTCCCCAACCATGTACTTTCTTACAATATTAGACTTCAGTTCTATGTACTGCTTAAAATATAAAAATGCCAAATACAGTCTCTGTTTTCAGTCTTGGAAAATAATTTCTGCCACTTAGAAACTTGTACTTTTGTTTCTCCAAGACTAAAAGTATAACAGGATTTGACATGCCCCTCATTTCTCCTCTGACTTCAGGAGTGGAAGATTTAAAAACAACGAGTAGGAAATCAAATAGTCGGGAGTCACTTTAGCAAATTGTTGGCATTTGTGCACCTGTGCCCCTTTCAGTGAAACTTTGGAATCACTGTGTTTCCTAAATAGTGGTCAGATAAAGAGGAGTATTGACTGTTGGTGCTGTCGCAGGAAGAAAGGCCTGCAGGAGGATGGAAGAGAAGTGCTATATGGTCACTGCCCTTGAGTCTCAGCAGATGTGGAAAGGAGGTCAAAGTTTAAGTTCTATCTGTCCAGTGTGACCATAAATCTCAGGACCTTGGTTTCTTGCTTTTCAGAATGGATTCTCGTTTGTTCCTATGTCAGTGACTGTGGTGAAGGTTTTATATATTCTTTATACTCATTTAGAACCTATATATAGCTATGCCTGGTCCACTACATCCCATCAAAGTTTTCACTTGGATGGGTTTTGTATTTATACTTTGTAAATAGGGCTACAGGTTTCTATCACTCCTTACCTGTTCATCTTTATTCTGAATGCCAAAAGTTTTCTACACTGTGATAGCAAAAGAGCAGTGGGAAATGATGCAATTATTCTTTTTTTCTCTGAAGTAGTTGTCCAACAGAGTTTCAATTCAGCTTATGAGTGCAATGCATCTTGGTCAATGTCAGCCCTTCCATCATTCTCCCCATCTCTCCCAATCCCACCCATTGTTGATGCGATTCTGATTGCTACCGTCTGGCTTGTGTGAGACCATAAGCGAAGGACTAATTCCCTAGGCCTGTTTCCTTGATGGTAAGACAGTGGAGCTCATCCAGTCATATCTTGGTATTTTTGTTCTCTCCACCTCTTTTTTTCTTTTTGGGTTGGTGGGATTGGACCTCGTGCCTTGCATTTGTGAAACCTACTATGTACCACTGAACCCCTACAGCCTACTATCCATTTTTTTTTAATGTGTAGAAGACCAACTGGGTATGAAGCACTCTGCTGGATGTCGAAAATTCAAAACTGAGTGAGAAATGCCTACTGCCTTGAAGGCAGTTGTTATCTTTCAAAAGGAAAGACTCACCTGTTATTTGGAAATGTGATAAGTGTTGTGATAGGTGTGTGTCTTTAGTTATTTTTTCCTGTCCTTCCAAGTCCTAAATGTGCACACCGTTACCACTGATACCATCCAAAAGTGTAGCTTCACCCTTTCACAAATGACAGTGTTTAACGTCAATCACTAACGTGGGGGGGGGGGGGAGGGGAAATATGTGATGCAAAAGGCATACCAATAAGCTTCTATTGGGAGTGTAAATAGGTCCAAGCATTGTGGCAGTTGGCAGTAGCTCATACAGAAGAAAATATGCATCTTGTTAGGCCAGAACCTCCACTTATAGTGATGTACCCTAAAAGATTTCTTTTCTTTTCTTTTTTTTTGGTCCATCATGGGGCTTAAACTCTGGGCCTGGGCTTTATCCTTCAGCTCTTCAGCTCAAGGCAAGAGCTCTGCTACTTGAGCCACAAAGCCACTTCTGCTTTTCTGAGTGGTTTATTGAAGATAAGAGCCTCATGGAATTGCCTGCTCAGGCTGGCTTTGAACTGCAGTCCTCAGATCTCAGCCTCCTGAGTAGCTAAGAATACAGACGTGAGCCACCAGCATCAAGCTAAAAGATTTCTTGTAACTAAGGATGTTAGTGTAGCAGAGAGCTCACTGCTTCAGGCCTCTGTTCCTCGGCTCCTCTCAGGCTAGTGGCTTTGTGTCTCTTCTGTATATATAGGATTTTTAGGTTACATTCTACAGTCTGAACTTGAGCTTCAGCTACAAGCCTGCAGTAGAGCTCTCCTTTCAGATGTTGAATGAACATTTCCAATGCACATGTGTAACATGCTTTGGCTTTTCCTGTGCCTGAATTTATTTCATTTTTAGCCCATTAACTGATGCCTCTATTTAATCAGCTTTTTAAACCAAAACCCTTGGAATCATCCTGGACTTCTTCCACTCATTCACATTGTATCCAATCCATAAACAAATCTATAAGGTAACAGCCTCCAAATAAAGCATATCTTATCATCTCACTCCTCTTAAACTATATCAGCCTCCAGTCTCTCTCCCTGGACAATGCCAGTTGACTTGTGATGGATCTTTTCCATTTTGCTCATGCCATGCTTTACACAGCAGTCATAGCAAACTCAATGATAGGTATGCTTTCCTCTGCTTAACACCCATACTTGCTTCCCCACATACTTAGAAGAAAATCCCAAATACTTAGACATCAAGTTTAGCTGATACAGTCTTTATCTACCTCTCTAGCCTTATTTCCAGCTACTTTTCCCCTAAGGTGTTCATTCTATCTTGCTGTCATTTAATGACATTGTTTGGCTACTTGTTTCTCTCACACATAATTATGTGGGTTTCATGAAGGTGGGTCTTGTCTGATTTTTCTAGCACTGCATTTATCTCAGTTCATTAAAGTACTTAGAAGGAATGAGCAAATAAACGAGTCAATGATGGAATACACTCTAGGAGAGAGATATACATATTTCTAGGGTATACTTTCAATTACAGTTAGAGGTGACCTAAATGTCCATTGACACAATAATGGACAATAAGTTTATAGTGTAATGTGTAGGTATGCACACCCATGGACACATGCACACATAGGCACACATATAGACCCAACACATGGATGCACTCATGCACATGAATGGATGCATACATGTTTATGCAGAGAGCTACACACTTCAACACATGTTGTATATGTATACACACATCTCTGTCTCTGTATCTGCACATAGTATACACATGTACACAGAAACAACACAAGCATAAATACATTTACAGACACATGTACATGTAAATGTGTGCCTCATTCACACATGCAGACACACATGCAGACACACATATACAGTCATTTACACACATGAGCAGATATTACATCCACACACAATATAAGCATAAACATACTCACAGACACATGTACACACATGAAGAAGCACACACCTGCACATCCACAGATACATATGCATACACACATAAACAGATACTACATGCATGCACACGGAGACATGTGCCTATTTATGCCATATACATGTGCCTGCACTCCACACACATGTACACATGGATGCACAGATGCACAGACCCATGCTCACATACACATAGGGACCTACACAGAAGCAGGAGCTCTAAAGCCATATGGTGTCTATATTTTTAATCTCTGTATATCAAGGATCCTGCACAAAGTAAGCTGCTAATAAATGTTCCATTATTTATTCACTCAAAAAAGTTTATAGTATATCCATATATGGACTAGTTTGCATTTAATAAAATATAAGTGAACGAGACATATAAACAGGTAGGTAGATAGATACTAAATCACTGTAAAAATCTCAAGCAAATATACCATGAAAATAGCAACTTCAAATGTACACATGGGATATCACCTATATAAATTCAAAAGCATTAAAAATGGTCTACTGCTAAGATAGATGTGTAAGTATTTAAAAAGGAAAAAACATTTGAAAAATGTCATACACATAAGTCCACTAATGGTTATGACCTGGCAGAAGAAAGATAAAATTGAATTCAAGAGGAGTGACCACACAGCTCACCACAGTGCATTTTTAATATTATATTCTTTTTAAAAAAAGCAAAGCAAAGAAAAAGTTAAGACCTTGACAGAGCTGTAATATAAGACCATGACTGTACATTATGTTATTTGCTGTGCATTTCTGTAAGTATGAAAGCATTTCATAACTTGCAAATATTTAAATAAAAGCTGAGGCTTTCCATGATTGATAGGGTAGAAGAAGATGCCCAGCCCCACGGTGACCACATGAGCCCTGCTCCCTGTTAGAAAACAGTGATTGCAATGAACAGCAGTTCTTGGAGCCACGTTTCAATGGCCTTTGCATACTCTTCTCACTAGACCCATACTCTGCCTTTTAGATGAATTAGAAAAAAAAATAAAGTGCTTTAAATTAGGGGAAGCCAGCCAGGTACTGATGCCTCATGCTTGTAAACCTAGTACTCAGGAGGCTGAGATCTGAGAATTGTAGTTCAAAGCCAGCTGATACAAGATAGTCTGTGAGACTCTTATCTCCTATTAACTACAAGTCAGCTGGCAGTGAAGATGTCGCTCAAATGGAGACACTAGCCTTGAGCCAAAAGCTCAGGGACAGTGCTAAAGTCCTGAGTTCAAGACCCAGGGATTGCATGTATAGGAGCATGCACGCGCGCGTGCACACACACACACACACACACACACACACACACACACTAGGGAGGCCACAAGTCTAGGAAAGAGTGGCTTCTTCAATGGAGTGAGAACAATAATGACCTCCAATTGATATGTTATCCATTGTTAAAGGGCATGTCGCATACATATTCTCATTAATCATTCATGATGGTCATGGGAAGCTTGTAAGGACAAGTATTTAACCCATTTGGGTAAAAAGAAAGCTGAGACCCAGGAGCATGAGAAGCAAGTAGCAAATGCAGAGCTAGGAAAAGTTCCTTTAATCTCTTGACATCCCAGTTCATAGTAGTATTTTGGAGCTTTGGTCATCATGGTTATGGAAGGAGAATACTTTGTGTTATCTACAACATGCAAACTCTGTCATTTTATTCAGGTTATGAAAAGTGAGATTGTGACAATAAGACTATAAGGAAGGTTTTACTCATACTGTTTAAAACTACCTCACATCCCTGCATAATACATGAAGTCATGCATCTTTAGAGCCTAAAATGCTACTAAGATGTTCTTTTCTCTCCAGGCCTCATATCAAGTGATGGATTTTGCAGATACTTGATGTCAGATGAAAATGCCCCAGTCTTCTTAGATCGTTTAGAACTTTACCAAGAAATGGACCACCCTCTGGCTCATTACTTCATCAGTTCTTCCCATAACACCTATCTTACTGGCCGGCAGTTCGGTGGGAAGTCTTCTGTAGAAATGTACAGACAAATTCTCCTGGCTGGTTGCAGGTTAGAAAATGAAGAGGTCAACTTGTTTTGTTGTCTTTTGTATATAATACTCTTCAACCTACAGTTGCCATCTCTTATCTACAGGGGAAAGTTCTAAGATCCACAATGGATGCCTGAATCCAGGGATAGTATCTAACTCTGGATATACTATTCATTTTCCTATATTTATGATAAAGCTGAAGTTATAAGTTAGGCACAGAAAGAGATGAACAACAATAACTGATAATAAAATCATCAGCAATACTACCTTAGTATTTGGGGGCCATTTTTAAACAAAATAAGGTTTACTTAAACACTGTAATACCATAAACGTCTAATTAACCAAGAAGGCTCCTAAGAGGCTGCTGGGTGTTAGTGGATACTCTGGACAGTGGACTGCTTTGTAACCCAGGCAAGACAGTGAGTTGTAAAGATTTCATCACATCACTCACAATGACAGGCAATTTAAAAATTGTGAGCTGTTTGTTTCTGGACTGTCCCATTTAATCACAGGTAAATGAACTACGAAGGATTGGTGTAATTTGTTTCCTCCCACCCCCAAAATAGGAAGTAATAATCAGATAAAAAAGACATTTGTCCCGTCTCTTCAATAGATTGTGTTGATCATTTCAATTTGGGTAAGGAAGGATAACAGCTCTTTTACAAAAGTCTGGAGTTATCCTGTGGATCAAAAGACACGGTTTTATTGTAAATTCAATATATGCCCCACAGATTACAGAAAGAAGATATACATGTATGTATTAAGAAGTCATATTAAGTTTTCTGCCGGTTATAACTGCTTGCAAAGTTAACATTAATGTTAGAGATTTAAAAATTTAGTTCTCTGGGAAAGGGAATTACTGTATTTTGAGAAAAAATAGAGAAAATAAGCAAATATCTCGGGTTTAAAATGTGACAAAATGCTAAAAGTTGAGATTAAGAAATAATATAACCACCTTATGATTTTTGTCTTGGTTATCAGTTCAGCAGCACTTAATTTTTTAACTCACTATTTTCTTGTGTATGGAAATACTGCAAAGGAAATTAATCATATCCTTACTTCCATTCAGATACTTTTTCTGAATTCTTGAGGAGGAATCACTGAATCAACCAAAATATTTTCTAATATTGTGAAAACAACATTATTTCACATAACAGTATTAAAATTAAAATTTTATGTCAGCTAAACCCCAATCATATTCAAATTTCCAATTTATCTTCAAGTTTTCCCTTATTGCTGCTTGATCCTCAATATAATTTCATGTAGAACCATGTTGCCAAAAGATTTCATGTAGAACTATTCTGCTGGAACTGCTGGCTATGTCTTCTATCTCTTACTTGCACAAAAGGTACTATCACTTAGACAGTCCCTTTATGATGACAACAGTTTGGTTTTAACCCAAATATGCCATGAAATTGCCATACCATTTAATTCGTTCCATTTTCTGCTTTGTCAGAAAACAATTCTCATGTTCCTCATTGAATTTGTATGCCTACTTTTATTATAAGGGTTCGGTATCATAATTTCACTGTGTTCCTAGGTGTGTTGAACTTGACTGTTGGGATGGAAAAGGTGAAGATCAAGAACCCATAATAACCCATGGGAAAGCAATGTGTACAGATATCCTTTTTAAGGTACATCTTAAAATTACATAATCACTGCTTTTTGCAGACAATGTGAAAATGCAGAAAATGGAGATGGAAGCAAACTAAAAACAAACATTCATTCTCTCAGACATTATCCCTTTGTATTTCTTTCTTTTTTTTTCCTTTTTTTGATCAGTCATAGGGCTTTAACTCTGGACCTGAGAGCAGTCTACCACTTGAGCCACTTATGGTTTCGTGGTACTTAATTGGATATGAGTCTCATGGACTTTCCTGCCCAAGCAGACTTTGAACTTCCATCCTCAGATCTCAGCCTCCTGAATACCTAGGATTACAGGCATGAGCCACTGGCACACAGTTGTCCCTTTGTATTCCTTCCTTCTCAGTTGAGGAAATTAATGATCTGATCAGTTACCTCTGTTTAGTTTTCCCCACATGCTCTTTTTTTCTACTTTCAAATGGGGCTTCTGTAGAAGACTCTTCCTAGTCTTACCAAATAATAATAATAAAAGAAGTAAGAAGTCTTTCAAGATACGCATAGTGGAGCACACCTGTAGTTTCAGCTTTTTGGGAGGCTGAGGTGGCAGGTTTTTTGAAATTCAAGGCCAGCTTAAGCAGCATAGTGAGATCTGACTTAAAAATAAACTAACTAAAACTTGGTGTGCGTGTTCTTTCCTACTTATTTGTTTGCTCATTTCTTGTTATTAGTGGAGGATTTCATGGTACATAAAAGCACAGAGAAAAGCAGTAGATTAGCGATAGGATTAATAACAGTAGGAGATCCTAAGTTTGAGGATTTATCAATAAGAGTTAAAAGACATAAAAATACTTGTCAAGAAATTTTATGAATTTCCAAGCCAGATCATAAATTGGCCTCCACACTTTCCAAGACTCAGTGCAAGGAAAGAAATAAGTGATTCACAGGATCCAGAAAAGAGAAGCAGTTATTTCCAGATCTGATCAGTGAGAAATTTTCTCTCAAGGATCTTCCTTGAGAGGAATCATTAGTTCTATAGATCAGTAATGGTTTTTGTTGTTGTTGTTGTTGTTGTTTGGTGATCTCCAATATGAGTTGAAGGCTAATTTCTTAGAGCATTCCTTAATATGTTCATGAAATTCTGCCAAAAGCTTAATTTTAAAAAATTAAACAAATGTTATTGTTGGCCAGTATGTCAGATACTTCAGTCTCTACTGAATTGGTTTAATTTGGCATAGATTTTATCACAGCTGGAACAATGATTCCCAGTTCTAGTTACATTTGAAAAATTCAGGAGTCTTTCAGAATCACAGATACCTAGACACCACTCCCATGATACTAGCTGGATATGATTTCTCTTAAGCACGATGTTGCTGAGTTTTGATCCACAAAGCCTTAAGAGTATGCTTTCTGGGAAGAGACAAGAGTGTGTTCAAATGAGAATCCATGAATTTGTGTTCCATTCCAAACTGACCAGCAGAATGGTCATTTTTAGAGAATTAGAGAGTCTCATAATGAAGCATAGCAAAAGAAGGCCATTCTCTCTCAGCTTGGACTAACCAAAGAAGAACCCAGGGGAAAACCAAAGTTTTTAACTCAGCTGGACAATTATGATCATAAACATCTTCACCTGGGAAGAAGTTTTAAGCAAGAATAATTAAATGGCCACCTCAGCCATAAAGATACTTTAATACAATAGTCTAAGGTTTGCCCCCATCTCTCCCAACCTCATCCATTCCCTCAGTTTATCTAGTTCCATGTTCACATAAGCAAACTGACTAAGGAGTGATATTGATCAAAATGCAATGTACTCATGAACTGATATGTTGAACGGGAACTCCTTTGTACAAGTACTTAAAGACAATTTTTGAAAAAAAAATCCTACTCAGAATAGTTTATACAGAATAGTTTAATTTCTCCTTGAAAAAAATATTCCAAAGTAATCTAACCTTGAGCATTATCATCTCAGTGGACTTCCTTTGATAACTATTACAAAATATTTTCTTGATTCACTGATTGACAATACTTGTTCCTGTAATTGGGAACAGTAGTACTGGTTTGAAGCTATTTTTTTTCCCTTGGAGGTAAGCAGAAACTTGGCTGAACCAAACATTTGATAAGTGTTCTATTTCAGGGATAGTAGGAGGTAAAATGCTAAACTCATTCAAAAGTTATTCCAAATACAAGGGGAATCCAGAACCCTTCCCTGTTTTACCTCCCATGTCTCTTGACCAAAGACAAATCACTCCAGACAGATCCTATTTTCACTAGGCTAATATGAAACAAAGGCTATTCTATATATCACATCAGTACCCAGGGATCTACCCTGAACTAAGAAAGGGAGCTCAAGACTAACCTCCAAACACAAAGCACGTCAGTAAAATCTTCCAATGAATGTTATTCATTCACTTGGTTTTTGAGGTGTTAGAGATTGAACTCAAGGTCCCACACATACTAACTGGGAAAGCACTGTACTACTAAACTATACCTTTATCTTCCAACAGATGTTATTACTAACACATTTCCCCAGAGGTGGGAGCCATTGAAGAGTGGTCTCCTGTGAATATTGCAATGCCAAAACCTACTGGCTCCTCAAGGAGAATAGGATGTTGCCCAGTGGTAGAGCACTAAGCACAAATCCCTAGGTGCCAGACAGACAGACAGACAGACAGACAGACACACACACACACACACACACACACACACATGAACCTGGCTTGGCAGATTACAAACTGGCTCAGTTAGTTAGAATCCTTGTAAACTGAAAGCATCACAACTCTGGAGAAGCAAAAGATAACGTTGAGTTTCATTTGCCCATCACCATTAATTGTACATCAGGCTCTACCATATTTCAAGTTAGATAGCTTTTCTAGGTCTGAACTGCTGGGATTAACTTTCTGAAATGCTCAATTACTAATCTCTGAATAGTTTGAAATACTTGAATTATTTTCCTTTTTCCTTATTAATGTTCTTTGTCTCTAAAGGATGTAATCCAAGCTATCAAGGAAACAGCATTTGTCACATCGGAATATCCTGTGATTCTCTCCTTTGAAAATCATTGCAGGTACCTCAAGTACCTAAGTGGTATTTTCTTTTTTAATCCTTACTCCTCACTCTTGATGAACATTTTTATAAATCACTGAATAGTTTGTTTTGCGAAGTACTACATAGCAAACCATCCTCCACTAAGGACACATAGTCTTATGCAAAACTAAAATGACTAAGGAAGTCATCTTCCGGTGTAGAAATGCTTGCTTTAAACAGAAGGCCAAAGGTTAGAGCACCTAGCTCAAAGCTCCATTAAGCTGAGAAATTTGGCACTAACTTTAAAAACTTCTTTTTTTAAAATTTTTCTTGCCAATTTTTAGTTTGGGAACTTCCTTCTAAATTGCTCCAGTTAAAGTCTGTGGTATTTAAAAGTTTATCTCCTGTTAACATTATTATTTTAATCATGCATTTTGTAGAGAAAGTGTCTCTAATTGCCTTGGATGGGGTATTTCTTATTTTTGAATGGTTAATGGAGATTTGAATTTACAAACGCTACTTCATTCTCTCCAGCAAATATCAACAGTACAAGATGTCCAAATATTGCGAAGATCTATTTGGGGATCTCCTGTTGAAACAAGCCCTTGAATCACATCCAGTATGTATTTTTAGCAAATAATATTTCTAACATGAATGGATTTGTTTTGAAATTCATTTTTGAAGGGTCAAGTGGCACTGGAGAACTAATGCTAAAGAACTTAGTATTTATTTAAATTCTTTGGTACACAAAGCTTTTATCATGCTTGAGGGAGATGTAAGGAGAGACATAAAATAAACATCTGATAAAGTTTAATTTGGAACATCTTTAGGGACTCATTTTTTTTTAATTTCATAAAGGCCAACAGTCTAGGTCCTACAGTCTTTTAATAATATTAGCTATATGTATTTTAAAAAAAACAAGCAAACAAACAACGACATGAGACACCTATTTGAAGGTATGGATGATGAGTGGATCCAAAGCCTAGCTCCAACATGGTATATTTGAAAACTCTCCAGGAGAAACAAATTCATGCCCAGGGTTCAAAATTCATGGGATCTTATTGTGGTGTTATACCAAATTGATGTCACAGCATCTTGAAGTTTAAGTTCCTAATGCTAAAATAAACCTTTAGTCCAGATTATATGCACAATTTTCAACATTATTTTATATGTATAGATTTTTTTCATAAAGAAAAGATTGTTAGTCTATTAGGAACTTTGTAGGGTCTTTGAACTCATTCTAACTACCTGAAGTTTTAAAATGCATAAGCATTCCAGATAATTCCTTACTTTCCTAAAATGGTAATGATCTTTACCATTCCTAAAACTGTTACAATGGCTCAAGATGTTCATTATGAGAAACTGAGACAGTTGATGAAACTGAAGTATGAGGCATTCTACAGTAGAGAGATATTTGGCCCTTCCCCCTTCCCCTTGTGAGAAAAATTTGTTTTCTATCCAAGTAGCTTGCTTCACTTCTGTCATTTTGTGAGAATTGTTTTTCTGAGCTGTTCCTGCTTTGGCCAGGTGGGTTGACCTATATTAATTACAATTTAGTTACATCCTTTTCTTGTTCAACCTTAATTAAGACATCCTGTTAGAAGCTCCTTAAATTTTAGTTACATGCTGTTAATTAAGCCCCATGCTTGTGACGTTTGTGTACCTGAATTCAGCCTATGTAAGCGGAGGGGCAGGCCCTGATGGATTAGTATAAAAAGAGAGCAGTTTGCTCTGTGTGCTTGCTTAACAGATTTTTGGCTTCTGACGCAGCCATCTCCAGAAGTAAATCTTGCTTTCCCAGTTCCTTTCCTTATTCCTATGCGACACCTCAACATCCTGAGCCGTTATCATGGTAGCTCGAAGCAGGAGAGAGCGGGCTAATACATTGATTAGCAATAGGGAGTTTACTTTGTGTTAGAAGTGAAACTTTGCATGGTTTAATTCAGCAATTTCCTGGAATTTATGTGTATGAGAATCAGAAAAAAAATAGGGGGACAGTGTTGTTGGCTTTCTTTTCTCCCCTACCTGATTCTATTTGACATGTTTTTGCAAGCGCTGCCCATCTTTCCCAGCACTTCCTGTCTTCCTGACACTGGACTGATCTCAGTTGCTAGTGCCTGCAGCTTTTTGGATGCATGAGTTTGGGTCACTGGCATCTGCTCTCATTACTGGAGTGGTCAGACATGCCAGAGAATTAACACCTCCATGCACACTCCATCACACCCAAGATGAGATGACTCAGTATCTCTGCTTTCTCTCAGGACTCCACAGCAGGGTTGAGCCCCAGTTGCCCAAGGTGATAACTTGCTTGATAACACACCCTTGATGGAGGACTTTCTCTTTGTCACTTTCCTGTTCCTCCGTTGGAACATGCTGGGACCACCCCACAGTCATTTCCTAGTGGTGCATTTAATCCTTGTCTCAAAGTCTGATGCCGAGGCAACAGCCTTGATTTATTTTGTTATTATGGGCCCTCTGCCTTTTTCATAGTGGAAGGAAAATGCATGCTTTTGTCGGGTGTTCTTAGTGATATATACATTTGTGAAAGGGATTATAGGATTCCTAGGCTGTGTAAGTGGGAATAAGACCTACTCTCTGAACGGAGGCTTTTCAGTGTTTAAAGAGGCAGGAACAAAGACACAAAAGTAAAGGTATAACTAAAAAGAGATAGCCACTGGTACTTTGAGTATTTGTTGGAGGAGTTCTTGGGCAATGGACCAGTTAGACTGGACAGGCCATAGGAACCAGCATTTTAGCAAAGGGTTTCACTTGAAGCTAGATGCAGAATGCACACACATGCATGCCCTACATAGGATAAAAATAGATTTTGAGGATGAGTGGATGGATGGAAGGGCAGACAGGTGAGGGTAGAGATGAATGGATGGATGGATGGATGGGGAATAAATCAGAGGTCAGTAAATCAGAGGTACATCTCCTTTGCAGATGTAAATATGAGTAAATAAAATCTATGGGTTTTATTTATGTAAATGCTATAGATTTACATTTTATTAATGTGAAATTTATATTTCAGTAATTGAGACCTCTCCTTGATTCCAAGTGAACCACTTGGCCACAACTTCATGCATTTAGCTCAGTCATCCAGTGGGTAGCAGGCTGTCTTACTCTACATCTTGACATCTGCTGGTGAGGGAGGTCAGGGAGGCCTCTAACCCAAATCCAGTTTGGCCCAAGGGGTTTCAACAATCTCTTGCATTGTATCAGAAACTTAAAAGGCACAAGGTCTGAAGTGGGTCAGGACCCTCTCCTGATCAGAGACACCCTGATCAGGCCCCAACACCACTGGGGAAGCTGGACTTACTGCTCACACTTCTGATAACTGAATTCCCAATTCCCAGCATTATTCAAAACGAAGTTGGATACAGTTGGACTAATTTGGTTAGAGGAGGAAACAGTAAAACTGTACTGACTGCCATCTAGTGGATGCTGGCTTATATAACTCCCAGCCACTCATTCTGGGCTGGGAATGAGTGTGAAAAGCACAACCATCTAATCCAGGTTTTTCTATGAATCTCTAGCTTGAACCAGGCCGGCCCTTGCCATCTCCCAACGACCTCAAAAGAAAAATACTCATCAAAAATAAACGGCTGAAACCTGAAGTTGAGAAAAGTAAGTCAAATACCTCTAAATGGAAGCACGCATGCATCTGTTTGAGCAATTTAGCTATCTAGGATGACATTTATTTTATGCTCTTTTATTGTTCTTGTAAAGGTGATATACAGAGGGGTTACACTTTCATAAGTCAGGTAATGAGTGTATTTCTTTTTGAACTGTGTCACCTCTTCCCTTGCTTTCTCCCAGCTTTCCCTCTAGCTCTCCTCCCTACAAGTTGAATAGTTCCTTTTCAACATAGTGTCTAGTGAGTATCACTGCTTCATTTGTTCACCCTTTGTCGCACTTTTTGTGGGTCTCCCCTGACCCTTCCCAAACAGATAAACTTTCAAACAGAAGTTACAGGAAAAAAACAGCAACAAAGGAAAAAAAAACACCTTTTATCTCCATTGCTTAGTTCATTTCTATAAATATCATTTTACATGATCATGCACACATAGCTAGGGAGCCTTTGTGATCTTCTCCAAAGAATAATGTCTACAGTCCCGTATAAGTTATCATGTCCAAATGTATTTTTTTGTCTTTCACCATCCAGTGTGTTTACTTGTAGATTTATAGGCACATTCTAGTTACAACAAATGAGGGAAAACATGCAACCTGTGTTTCTTTGGTTCTGGCTTACTTTGCTTAATATAATTTTTTCCAAGTCTTTCCATTTCCTTACTAATGGCACACTATCAATGCGGTACCCATCAAAATCGCAACAACATTCTTTTTTTTTCTTTTTTTTGTCGGTCATGGGGCTTGAACTCTGGACTTGGGCACTGTCCCTGTGCTCTTCAGCTCAAGGCAAGCGCTCTACCACTTGAGCCACAGCGCCACTTCCAACAACAACATTCTTCAATGATATAGAGACAGTAACCCCAAAATGCATAGACCCTGAATAGCAGAAACAATCCTTAGCAGGAAGAACAGTGATGGAGGAATATCAGTACCAAACTTCAAACACATACAAAGCCATAGAAATTTATTTTTAATCGACTACTTCTGAGTGGCGATGTTACATATACTTTCAGAGCAATATTGGTGCGTTTCCATTGAAGTTTAGTTTCCATATCACTTAGTCCATACAGTATATACTTATATGCCATGAGTTAGAGGAAAAATGAGAACTAGAAATTTCAGTTTACATTGTGATATGTCTTGTTATACTTCATTAAAATTGTACCCACACTCTCTTCATTGTCATATCTGAGAACCTGCATTCCAGCAATATCATCAATGTTGGCTGTTGGTCAGCCTTTATGAGTACTTAGTGAATAAAAAATGAGGCTCTATTTTTCTGATATGTTTATCAATAATTTATTTGTATATTACAGTTTGTCCTTAGATGTATTGCCACTTTCAAAAAATACTTTTATTGTCTTGATTTTGCTTAAAAGAGCTCTACACTTTATTTGTTAGAATAATAGTCCCAGTAATGTTAGTTGTAATTGTTTCCCAAAGTTTTATTGTGTTGTGCATGTCATTTTTCAATCACTTAATCATAATTGCCCATAAATCATGGTGTGAGCCATTCTCTAAATTATGAGAAATTGTTACCTGTTTAAATCTTTAGCTCTTATCCGAAACCTGTTGATGAGAATTTTGGGCAGTTCACCCATATTCTAGTAGTGTGAAGACTCAGGGTCTATGTTGAGGGGGCAGAATGATGCAGGCTCCAGCCTCAGGATTATCTGAGGACTGTGTTTGGGATTAGGAAAGCTCTTGGAACGCCAGGCTAGAGAGGGAAAATGTTCTCTCTCCCTATCTCAAAACACATGTCACAGACTCCTGGGAGCTGAGGAAGTAGCTCTTCTGCTTGACCTAAGCCTGGGTAAGGGTCACGAAATCACCAGGACACAGGGGATGCAGAGTGCAAACAGCAATTGCCACTGCATCCCTGTGTCCTAGTGATTTCGTGACCCTTACCCAGGGACCCCAATGCACTAGACGTTGTACGTAAGGCGAGTTTTTGCCAAGACCTCAGGAGTAGGCAAGACAGTGGCCACTGCGGGACCCTAGGAACATGGCCAGTAGGTACCAAAACAACAGACTGCCTTTGCTTGTCCACATCCACCTTAGCTATTGATCTTAAAGGCCAAGTTCTGTGAGTGATCTAGCATCGATCACCATCTTGTTCTTGTTTGGTTTCCTCACAGAACAGCTGGAAGCTTTGAAAAGCATGATGGAAGCCGGAGAGTCTGCAGCCCCGGCTAGTATCTTAGAGGATGATAATGAAGAGGAAATAGAAAGTGGTGAGTTGTTACTGCGAGTTATATGTTGCTAACCATGATTCTATTGGAAACAGGGAAAACAAGGAGTTCTTTCCTTGGACCTTTTTATAGAGATGGCATTAGACTTCTAAAATATTCATATGTGTGTGTTTAGATGGACCTGGCTCAGTTTTTTTTAATTTTATTGTCAAGATGATGTACAGAGGGGTTATAGTTACATAAGTAAGGTAATGAGTACATTTCTTTTTTAAAAATAAATTTTCATGTATTATTCCAGTTTATCTGGACATGGCTTAATCATCTTCCTTCCTACTGTGTGTTCAGCTGTTCAGACATTCATAGCCAGACACTGAAGCTTGAAGCATTTTCTGTAGCAGGTAGGAGGTTGGAATAAAGAGTACCCATTTCTATAAATAATAAACTCTAGTCATTATGTGAACAGGAACTCCAGTCTTACTAATGATATTAGGAATGAAAAATACATATGGTGAAAGAACCTCAGTTAAATTATTGGTTGGTATGCACAATGTGAAATGGAAACTCAATGCCATTATTAAAATCTCAAGTTCAGACTAGGAGTATTGTTCAAGGGTAGAGTGTGCATTTAACATGACTAAAGCCCTGAGTTCAATTCATAGCACAACCAACCCTTCCCACTCCCAACAACTTCAAATTTCTTCAAATAGCCAGCTAGAATTATAAGTAGATAATATCAGCAAAGGCCACCTCACTTAACTGTTTTTATCATTTCTTTTATTTATTCCTACTTTATTTTACCAATATAGCCACTACTATATTTTGGTTAAAATTGCTGATGAGAGTGTAGCTCAGTAGAATATGTGTGTAACATAAGTAAAATTCCATGTTTATTCCTCAATACTGCAAAATAAAAATATGAACGGTGATAAAACATTTGAGAGTTTGGGTATGTTTACGGGGAAACTATTTGTTCATTATGTATCATGAGAATTGACTAACCAAACAACTTGGATGTTCATTGATTAGACAGTGCCTTGGATGTATATACAGGCCTGAGGCTAAATAAATTATTTAGCTAAATAAATTATTTAGCCCCAAGTATTTATAGAAGCACTTATGGGAATTCTTTTTTATTATCTTAACATCTGAAATATGACTTTAAGAAAATTAGATTCATAGGTTAAAAACCTGAAAGCTGTGAGAATTAGCTGTGTGAGAATTCACAAACTGAAGATTTCTAGCTATGGGACATACTTCCTAAATAACTTTAGTGCATCTCTAAATGGTGAGTTTAACTCTACTCCCAGAGAAAAGTCATAATGGCTTACTTCCCTATATTTTCTATGTCAGAGAGGTTCAATGAAGCCAAAGATGTCTGATATTAGTTAGTTGATGCATTTAATGGTAATCCATTATTCTTTAATATACTATCTCCAAATTTAAAGGCTTAGAACAAGACTTTATAATTATCTCTCACAGTTTGTTGTGTGACCTGGGCTCAGTTTGGTGATTCTCCCTTGGGTTTCTCATATAGTTGCTGGCAGATGGTGTCCGGGGCTGGCATCAACTAAAGGCTTGATTGGACTGGTGAGCCAAGATGGCTCATTCCCACAGCTGTCTCTTCCGAGCTTAACCAGGTCTCCTGAGCAGAAGACCCCCTATATGGTTTGAGTGTCTCACAACTTAGTGGCTACTTTTTGAATGGTTGCATCGTTCAAAAAATATATATCTCAAGAGGCAAGCAGTAAGGACTGCTAATTTATTGAAGAGATATTCACAGATCTTGCACAACACACTTCCCTTCTATTTTATTCATCAAAACAGCCTTAGAGCTGCTCAGGCTTAAGGGCGTAAGTGAGTGACAAAGTCAGCCTTGGAGGACCATAGAGGAGGCACATATCAATGCAACTGTCTTTGACAAATATAGTGAGTGGCTCTATCCATTCATTGTTTCACATTTTTAAAAAAATGAATAAACTTGAACAGTATTTAAGAATTAAATATTGACACCGAGCGCCGGTGGCTCACACCTGTAATCCTAGCTACTCAGGAGGCTAAGATCTGAAGATCATGGTTCAAAGCCAGCCTGGGTAGGAAAGTCCGTGAGTGTCTTATCTCCAATAAGAAAACCGGAAATGGCTCTGTGGCTCAAGCAGTAGAGCACTCACCTTGAGCTGAAGAGCTGAGGGATAGTGCCCATGCCCAGAATTCAAGCCCCACGAACACCACAAAGAAAAAAGAAAAAGAAAAAAAAGAATTAAGTATTGAAAATATAAGAGAAATAGGTTTATCTATTTAGGTTGTTTCATAGAGAGTAACCAAAACTATGTAAGATATTAACAGTAAAATAAGAACTTTTATTATTCTTATCCTTCAGATACCTGAAGCAGAAACTTAAGAGGGGTACCATATTTTGCATAGAATCTAATAGTTAGGGTTGGAGAGGGAGTGGCCCTAGAATTCAGTCCTAGAATGGTCTGACTCCAGACCCTTTTTATTGCTTAAAAGACATTCTTTCTGATATAGAGGACTCTAAAAGAGTGCACAAAAACGGGAAATGGTTGTTAAAAATGTTTTAAAAGCAAAGAAAATATAACTGATGAAAGTCAGATGTGATAGTTCCTGAACACACACAGAAATCTAAAATTAGGTTCAATATGACTCCACTTATCACCTTCTATACACATCTCTTCATTATTCCTCCGGAAAGATGAATATTTGCCTTTAGTGACTCCAATGTTCTTCCAAATTCACTTGAGGTTTTGATTAAATTTTTCCCAGATATAATCACATGGGATGACGTACAAGAAGAAAAACACCTGAAAAGACAGAATCACCCACCACATTTCTCTTTAATAGCACAGAGGTTCTGTCATACCAGTTATGTATATATTCTTAGCTTCCTTAAGTAATACTTGGCTTTTGTTCTATTCATTTCATTGGTGGCATAATATGATCCTACTGTCTGTAAGTGGCTCCAGTCTCTAACTTAAGTAATCAGCACAGCAGGCCAAAAGGAACCAAGTATGGTTCAAGAAGGCAGGCCTGACTGGAGGCTGTACAAAATAGAAAAGGTTCTTAGTGATAGCATATGTTCAATTGTTAGGCTAGATTAAGACGCAAATGGACACATGGCTCTCAGGATACCAAAAGTATGCATGGTATATCTGTGTACTCAAGCATACTCAGGAAATAGTAACATGCATTCACATACTCCTTAAAAGTACTAGTTATTAAGTGTTTACTGTTGTATGGGTAGTTTACAAAGGCTGGACAGGTTTGACTAGACAGGTTGAATATCCATTATTCAAAATGCTGGGGACCAAAATCATTTCAGATCTAAGACTTTCTTTACATGTTGAAATGTGTTCTTTTTATGTTTTTTTATTGTAAAATTAGTGTATAGAGGGGTTACAGTTATATGAGTAAGGTAATGAATACATTTCCTATCAAGCATTGTTACCTCCTTCTTTGTTTTTTCCCTACCATCCCTTCCCTACCCACCTCATCCACTCTCCCCTCTCCCCGCCCCAAGTTGTAAAGTTTGTTTTCTACATACTGTCTTGTACATCTCTTTGCTACAATGGGTCATCCTATATCCTTGTTTCAGAATTTTGTTATTTCCCTTCCCCTCCCCAAATTAGAAAAATGTATATGTGTTCTTAATTCAAAATTTGAAATGCAAAGCCATCTGAGGACTGGCATCACACTCAAGAAGTGTAGGAGCATTCCAAGTCCTTTGGATTTTCAAGTTAAAGTTGTTTAACCTGTTGGTAAAATGGCAGCATAATAGTAATGATGAGTGTTACCCCAACTTTGCTTTCAAGCTGTTGGTTCTGGGATCAATGTTCAGCACAAGATCAGTGGCCAGGGCTCACTACAGTGTGGCTTTATGGATTTTCCATTTGTGTTTTACACAGCTGACCAAGAAGAGGAAGCTCACCCTGAATTCAAATTTGGAAGTGAACTTTCTGCTGATGACTTGGGTCACAAGGAAGCTGTTGCAAACAGCGTCAAGAAGGTCAGAGCCTTTGTGTACATAGTCTCTCATGACTCTTGAAGGGATAGAAACTGTTATGAAATGTGAGAAATCACGTTCTGCTTCTAATTGTTTCTACTGAGTACCAGAATTGGTATCATATACTGTTATGTTGTAAATGACAAAAAAAGACACAAATTACTTATTAGTCATACCCAGTTGGCCGGTTACTTTAAATATTACTGTTATGCACTATGGGAAGTAGGAAGGAAGAAAGTAACAATAAAGCTGAAGGATATCTGGAAAATGACCCCTGAACATCCCAACTTCATTGAAGAACCAGTTCTATTGATATGACAACTTCTTCCTAATGTAGAGTAAGCATAAAAATATTTCTAGCCATTCAGCCAAGAAAAAGAATTCTTATGTGCCTATTATTTGTCAGACACAGTCTAGACAATAATTTCCTAAAAGAGGCAAAACAACTTGCTTCCTGTCCTAAGATGGCTTCTATAGGTTTCATATAGTTTAGAGAAACAGATGGGAAACAGAGGGTAAATAAGTAAACAGTAGTTATACACTTCAATCGGTGATACGTGCTTTCATTAAAATGAAAGTAAGTGCTAAAAAGAAAATAATGAGAATAATGAGGTGGCAGGGAAAGGCCATGGTTTCTTGATTGGAATGGAAAAGAACTCATGAGTTTCAAATGGGAGAGATCATGTGAGGTGCCTGTGGGATATTCCAGTGAAAGTACCAAGTAGGATTTGCTCAACATTGACATCTAATGACCTTGGCTCCTTTCCTCTCTAACCAGGGTTAAGTTACTTAACTTTTTGTGCCTCAATTTCCTTATCTGCAAAAGGAAGGAAGTAGTATTTCATGGGGTTTAATATGCAAAGTCAATGGGCTTAGGATCGTATCTGACATTTGGTAGGTTCTATAAAAGTATTAGTTGTTTCTATTACCATTGCTATTTTCATCTTCATTGTCATTATCCTCATCACAAGCATCATTAACACCTGTATCTAAAAGACAGGTCGAGTAGAGATGTAGTTGAGAATTTGAGACATTATATTTAAAGCCTTTGAAGTATCTGTGTTGATTTATGGGGAGCTGTGGGAAGAAGATTAAGGTAGAGCCCTGCTGAGCTCACAGAAAAGAACAAAGGATGTCCAAATAAGAGGTGGGATCAGGTGCTGGAGGTTCATACCTGCAATCCTAGCTGTTCAGGAGGCTGAGATGGGAGGATCATTCTTTGAAGTCAGCTCCAGCAGGAAAATCAATGAGAGTCTTATCTCCAGTTAACCCGCAGAAATCAGAAGTAGAGCTGTGGCGCAAAGAGGTAGGGCACTAGCCGTGAGCACACAACTCAGGCCCTAAGTTCCAGCCCCATGACCCAAAAGAAAGTGGAGGCGGGCAGGGAGGTGAATCAGAAATCCAGTAAGGACACCAAGGAAACCAAGAGAACAGTGTTTATAATGGATTGAATATCTGGCTGTTGAATGGCTAGGTAAGAAGATTCAAGAATGTCCATTAGATTGGTGGCATGGAGGTAATTGTGACCTTGAAAACAGGATTCAATGGAGTGCTTGTGGGAGAAAAAGAACTAAAGCAGACATATGAATGAAGAACATGCTTCATGTTTCTGAGTTTGGCAAAGAAGGGAAGCAAGAAATGAGCCAGTAGCTAAACAAAACTTGAGGTGTTAAGAGACTGTCATATTTAGGGTGAATGAATGTGGAATATGTTTGCAAACAGCTTGTAATGGAGATAGATTAACCAATCAGGAGGGAGAGGTTAGCTGCCAGTAGTTCTTTAAGAAGCTGAGAGTAGGAAAGATCATGATGATGTGAAGATGTGGTTCTTTATTAGAAACAAGGAAGTGCGTGGACAAAGATGGAAATGGCTGGATTTAGTAGTAAGGAAATGTATTTGACTGATGAGCAAATGCATATACATTGCACCCTACCTTTTCTGACAGTGGGACTTGTGAATACATTGAGATTACCAGATGCCTACTAAGATTCAAGACTGTTGCAGAACTTCATTGTTCTAATTCAGGTTGATATAACAAAAATATCTTAAGACTGATTGGCTTAAATAACAGAAATTTATTTCTTACAGTTCTAGAGGTTGAGAAATCTAAGAGTAAGATGCCAGCCAGTTAGTTCCCAATGAAGGCCCTCTTCCCTGTTCTATCTTCTTAGGATGGAGAGAAATATGACAAAATAAACTCTGCCTCAGCTCTTCTCGTCTGGGCACTAATACTGCCATGAGGACTCTATCCTCATAACCTAATTACTTCCCAAACACCTCAGTGCTAAACACAAGATGCTCCTTGACTTACAAAGGGATTATGATAAAAAAAAAAACAAAAAAAAAACCATTGTAAGTTGAGTGTATCATAGGCTTGAAATGCATTTAACATATTTAACTAGAATATTAGTTAACATTTGATATACTTAGCTAAATACTATATCTTAGCAACACATGATACTACTGAGTACTCTTAGTTTCCACTCACTATCACATGAGTGAATGGGTTTATGACTCAGTGTCACTGCCCTGCGTTTTAAGAAGAAATCATACCACATATTGTCTGTCCAAGCAAAGGTCACAACTGAAGCACAATTTCTCTTGGATGCATATCATGTTCATACCATCATAAAATTTAAAAAAAATCATTAGTCAAGTCATCATTTAATTGAAGACTGTCTACTATCCTAGTAGAATTAGGGATTTAGCAATAGAATTGGATAGGAATTTGATAATCATTGAACCCATGTGAAATATAGAGATAAGAAAGCTGACTTACTGAAAAGTGACCACTCATACTTTTTGCCCTTTAAATATCAGAGGAGATAACGACATTCATTATCCATTTCCCAAGCCCCATAACACAAGCACTAATGAAATTTTTATAGCGAAACATGTAAGTTAAGGCTCTCAAGGAGGGACATAACATTAAGATGAACACCTAGAATAAAAACCAGTTACATCATCACATCTTTTCAGTATTTCTTTTTGTTAAATTCATGGCTTTATGTCATCAACAATTTCCCATTAGAATAAATTAGTAAAATAACACATTTACATACTTATTTAAATATTTGATAAATTATATATGACTAATAAATTTGAAATTTTGCCCTTTAGAGAAGTAAACAAATCATTTTCTTTCTCTAATTTAGACCTCAGATGACCTTGAACATGAAAACAACAAAAAGGTAAAATTCTCTCACACATTTTACTCTGGTTAGGAGACACCAACATGTGGCCAGCAATCTAATATTATAGGCCTTTTAGACTAAACATTGTTGTAATTGTATCTCCCCAAACCATGGAATATCAGGCTTAGTATTGAATAGGGCCTTGAGGTCTGTAGGTCCTACCATATTCAGAGTGATATCCTACCTTCTTACTGTCTAAATATGGATTTTGAAGGAATTATGGATAAATCTGATCATACTCCTCTCCCAAAATGTTTATGAAGACATTCTCCTCTTAGGCTTGTTTTATGTACCTTATCCATCTAACGATAGATGTTTTCATAGAAAAGAAGTAATCCTAATGATAAAATTATTAAATCCTGATTTAAACCAAAAAAAAATCACAAAACTAGAGCAGGTAATTTCCTAAAAATAGGTGTTGCATGTGGGCAAGGTATTTTCTTAGTTGAAATTAGAAATTTCAGTCCTTGTAGAGAGAGCTACCTAATCATCAGCACATTGAATTTGAAAATAAAAATGACCCAATAGCTCATCAGATTGAAATTATAGCATAACTGAAAGGTGATCTTGGTTCTGTCAACATCAACATTATGAGAGATTATGAATTAGCTTCACACTGCATAGTTTCTAGAGTCTTATTTGATATTGTAGCTATTGGCCTTATGATAAAGAAGGTAAAGTGATGCGTTTATTTTCTTTAATCATCTTCAGAGTTTTTTCCCCAAGGGTCAGTATATTCTAAGTAAATGTGTGTGGGTCATTGACCTGTGGGGAAACTATGGCAGTCTCAGGCAGCAGTTTGCCTTGTACATTGACACTCAGACTTCAGAGCTTCTACAAAATGTTGCCTATCTTGGGGGGTCTGAGCATGTTTAGAATGAAACCCTATCTTCTTATATTATTATTATCTTTGAAGAAATGATGTAGAAATCTGATTGTAGAGCTCCCTGGAAGCGTTTATGAGGACATTCCTTTCATAGAGCCAGGAGTGTACAGACTGACTTTTTTGGTCACTGCAAAATTATTAGCTAAATTGTTTCCATCTGCAAGGCTTCAGTCTTCTGTGCCCCATGGGAGTCTAATCCCCATGACACACTATGATGGTGCAAGAGTTGGGTATGATGGCTCATACCTATAGTTCTTATTACTTGGGAGGCAGCAATTGGGGTTGGAAGCAAAAACTTCGGTTCTACCAGTGGCTAGACAGTGTGATACTCACCAGCATATGTCTGGGTACAGTGGCATATGCCTACTATCCCAATCACATAGGAGAGCATAAATACAAGAACCATTATCCAAGCCATCTTGGGCTCAAAGCAAGATGCTATGTTGAAAATTAACCAACATAAAAGGACTACAGAATGGCTCAAGAGATGGAACATCTGCCTTGTAAGTGTGAGGCTCTGATTTCAAGCCCCGGTATCACACAAAAAAGCAAAATAATAATAAAGAAGTTTGGCAGGCAGGAATGTGCATCCTAGTGTTCAGCAGATAGCACTGGTGGTATTTATTATCATCCAACACACAAAAGGAATGAATGTGGCTTCTAGCTTTGTTTAGGGGTAAGGTACAAAAAAATAACATAAAGAAGTTATTTTCTTTGATTACTAGCCTCAAGGTTTTATTGGTAAAATCAGCTTGGTGTTCTAGAGTGCTCGGGAGGTTTTTAAGACATCAGTTAAAAGAAATGATACGACTATTATTTTTAGTTATGGGCAACATCATATGACTAAGCCATTTATATACCTAGATTTACTCTGTGAAAGAAATGTACCTTTGCAAAGTTTTCAACAAGATATTGGTTGTGTTTAATGATTTATTTTTCATGGTTCTGTTAGCCTTGTTCTGATTTCTCAAAAAATTAAAAATGACATGTGTATTTTCCCCTCTGTGTAAAGTAATGCAATTCCAATAGGTCTGGTGTAGCAAGCTATCGGACCATTTTAATAATCGATGCTCATTTTAAAATACAATAGACCATGTATGCGTGTGCCTAAAATTCTAGAGCATATAAAGTTTGCCCCTCAGACCTGCCCTGCATCAGCACCTGAGAACTAGGTATAGAATTGCAAATTCTGGGCCTCAGATTCTTTTCAGCAACTGTAAGCAGAAGATCCAGGAATCTGCTTCAGCAAGTTCTTCTTCGGGTGACTTTCCTGCACACTCAAGTTGGAGAGAATGACTGTTTTTGACTTTGGTGCCTCAGCTTGTAAAACCATGAGTGATAACAATAGCTGAACTTACCTGACAGCGTTCCTGTGATGTCCTAGTAGAATGTCTCAGCTATTTTAAAGTTCGTTGAAACTTTAACATTTCCCTGGAATATAAACTGAACAATTTTTTGACTACCTCCTCTTACGTCAGTTGGAACTACAATAGACATTGCACTTTTCAAATTCTTTGATGGAGTTGAAGGGACGGAAAGATCTTTTACCTTTGAGTTTGTGTGTAATCACACATTACCTTTAGAAATGTATTCCACAGCATCTGTCTATGAGACTCCCTGAGATGGTGGGCTTATTTGTTCTTATTCCTTGTGCTCACACACAGGGCCTGGTTACAGTAGAAGATGAGCAGGCATGGATGGCATCTTATAAATACGTAGGTGCTACCACAAATATCCATCCCTATTTGTCCACAATGATCAACTACGCACAACCTGTAAAGTTTCAAGGTTTCCATGTGGCTGAAGGTAACACCAAAGGTTAAATGCAATGGCTATTTTTATGTCTGCTTCTCTTTTGTATTAGTGACTCAGCCCTGGTATGACTTAATTGCCATTTTCTTTTTCAGGCATGGGGAGTCACCTCACCTCATTTTTTATGAATAGATCCTGTGTTGTATTGTCATTCCCTGTTTTCTCCACACGGTGGCTCTGCAACACTGAGGACTCGTTAGCTGCTTCTATTGCATGCGCATTCACAAAGCTTCTTTTTAATAAATCTCCATATGTGTACATATTTATCGACGCATAGTATTTGCATGTATACTGGATAATTAGTATCTCCAGGAACTGGAGAGAGTGGGGGGAATCAATGGGCTCAATGTTCAGTGTGAGCAGTGAAGCAGAATTACACTCTGATGTTTGAGAACCCAAGACTTTTTTTTTGGTCATGGGGCTTGCACTCATGGCCTGGATGGTACCCCTGAGCAATTTTGCTAGTGCTCTATCACTTTGACCCACAGCACCACTTCCAGTTTACTGGTGGTTATTTGAGAGAGTCTCAAAGACTTTTCATGCCCAGGCTTGCTTTGAACCTTGATGCCCAGATCTTAGCCTCCTGAGCAGCTAGGATTACAGATAGGAGCCACTGATACCCTCCTTTTTTCTTTTTTGCCGCTAGTATTCAGGCTTGAATTCAAGAGAGATTCACACTCTCACTTGGCCTTTTGGTTCAAAACCAGCATCTACCACTTAAGCTTTATCTCCACTTACGTTTTTTGCTGGTTCACTGAAGATAAAAGTCTCTCATACTTTGCCCATGCTGGTTTTGAACTGTGATCCTCAGATCTCAGCCTCCCCAGGAAATATTATTACAGACATAAGCCATAAGCGTCCAGCTATAAAAGCTTCTTTTCATCAAGTGCTAGTCTTCCAAAACAGATGAAGTATTTATAAATTTTTCTGTAATAATTTCAAACCCAAAAAAGCTATTATCATCATTTTTATCAAATACATGTGTATTAGAAGGGGTGGCTATGGAAGCCACCAAAGTTTCCTGATTCGGGTTGTGATTACATATATTGCTTGTCTTTATGGAAGGGGTTCCTGGCAGAGTTCTGAATGTATCATCTTGGCTTTTCTTTTACAGAACGCAACATTCATTATAACATGTCTTCTTTTAATGAGTCCGTTGGTCTTGGCTACTTGAAGACACATGCAATTGAATTTGTAAAGTATCCTTTTATACTAAGTAGGGGTGGGTGGTGTCCTTTTGGTTAGCCAGTGGTCTCTGGAATAGAACAATGGCTCATCAATCATTTTGATGGTAGAGCTAATAAAATACTCTGTGTAGAAGACCACAGCAGCTGTGACAGACTGACCAGAATGTGAATTGTTCTCAGAATCCACAGAGCACCCTGCTCTTTCTCCTAAGCACCATTTATCAATGTGACATTTGCTCCACATTGGCTATATGTTGGTCACTTTTGGCTTATGCCTGGGTGGGTTTAGTTCTTTGTCATTTATCTCTCTAGTATTATTTTTATTTTATTTATTTATTTATTTTTATGTCCTTAATAAGTTACACAGTTACAACAAACGGCAAATGAGTCGCATTTACCCCAAGGGAGGCCGAGTGGATTCCAGTAATTACATGCCTCAGATTTTCTGGAACGCTGGCTGCCAGATGGTTTCACTGAACTATCAAACCCCAGGTAGGCACTGATGTCCAGTGACCCCAAATTTCATGAGAATGCTTGGAGGGGTGGAGGAGTGATCCTGGCAGAGGCCATCAGTTGACTCTGAGCACTTAAAAAAAAGCCAGACATGTGGCAAACAACATTTCCATTAATTTAGATAATTGTGAGATATTAACTGACCAAAATAGAGCAATAAAATAGTGGTAGGAGACAGTATGTTTTGATTCAAATTTCTTTCATAAATGTCTATTCTGTTCAAATTATTTCCTAGTCTAAAATTTTAACTTCTATTTTTTTCTTTTTTTCTTCCTTTTTTTTTTTTTTTTTTCAAATTTGTTATCTTTGATTTCTGACCCAGAATTGGGTGAGAAGGATCTGAGTAAGGTTAGGATTTTGAGTAAGTTTAGGCCATTTCTCCCTTGGAAAGTACCTGGACCCTGATTAACAGAAGTGGTACCGTACCACAAAAGTACAGAATATTACAGACTAAACTCCACTAAAATGGCAAAATGGTATGAGCCCAGAATTAAGAATTGTGATAGCAAAATCAAAATGAGATAGAAGCCAGCCACTATTATTTATTTATTTATTTTTCTTTTGTTGTTGTTGTTGTTATTGTTGTTGTTTTCATGTGCCAGAACTGGGGCTTGAACTTAGGGTTGTGTGCAATTGCTTGGCTTTTTTGGTTCAAGGAAGCCACACCTCTGCTTCCAGTATAGAGGTTATTGGTAGATGAATCTTTTGCAATCTTTTTCTATAAGACAGTACCTCCCAGGTTTGTCTGTTGAAGTGGGGGAAGGGGAGCTACTTTTACTTTTCTGTTGCTCTACCATACTTGCACCTTGATATCTAGATTGACTGGAAGGTTCTTTGACTTTTATGAACCAGTTATGGTTTTTCACCCTTGGTGGAGCCTCCTCCCACAGAGGTCACCTTCATACATGGTGTGGGAACAGTCTTTATTAGATGAGATGATGCCCTGTACCTACACAATCCCAAATGTTTGGGGCAGGAACAAACAAAAATGTACTGTCAGTTTGTCTTACTTCACAGGGGGTCAAGCTATGCTCTCCGTTGTCAGAGGTTTGGTGGTAAGGATTCCAAGATTCTAGAAAAGTGTATTCACTAGGCAAGCTTATATGTTTGTCTATCATGTGGTTAGATTCAACCACAGTATTTTGAAGATGAAGCCAAAAATTCTGTCCATTTACTCTGTTTTTGTTGAATGAGAGAGGGAAAAAATTTACTCATCTTTAAGAAAAAAGTCAGGCATTGCCCTGTATAGACACCTGTAGATGAATTCTAAGTTCCTTGCTGAAAAAAAAAGTCAGCCAATTTTATGTGAGCTATACCTAGCTCATGCTGTAGTCTTTTTAATCGTGTCCCATTTAGACTAACCCTTCTGGGTATTCTGGAGTGTCCTTCCTCTAGGGTCATGAGGCATGTACATATATACTCTCTAACCATTGCAATTGTACACCTCTATCTTCAACATTATATGAGCAATCATATGAGTCATGTATTCAATCCATTTTTAAAGCAATTCCAGGATAATATCCATGAAAGCACAGTTCATGTTTTATTTCAACTAAACACAAGGTCATTTCAATCTAGAAGAGAATGATATGCCTTAATCTGAGCCAGCAGTACCTTCTGGTATAGGAGAGGGACCTTCAGGTCTGGGAATAATCTGATTACCATTGCTTCAAATCACTCTGTCAGTATCTTCTTTGTCCTGAGAGATGAGATGCTGAATTATTTTTGTCTCTTGACAGATTTAGCGATGCAATTGAATCAGGGAAAATTTGAGTATAATGGATCATGTGGGTGAGTAACGTGACTTGAACTGTCATCACCTAGTTTCAGGATTTCATCCTACAGCTCTAATGAAACCATGTCATTTTTAATTAGGGGTTGCTGAATGCAAGCTGGGTTAGAGCCATAGGGTAGAAGAAATGAAATTCCTAGATAGATTGTATTTGCAAATATACCTTCTTTATGGCTTCATTTTCAACCACAAGTTAAGAAATTTATCATACATATTCTAGGGTTTAATTTTCTCCCTTCCAATTCAATACTGAAGGTTTTTTATAGCTGAGATAGGTAAATGATCTTTCTCACTTGGACATTAACAGGAGACATAGGCATTAAATATGTGTATCTTTACCTGTGAAAGGAGATTAATTTAATGTTGAATTTAATCTAGAATAAAACTTTATTTTCTCTTGAGTCTTTTGCATGTCTTATAAATAGCAGTTATGTAATGCCATGAATGTTGTTCTAGTTTACTCGAATAGCACTTGTAAAAATCTCTGAATCAAAAAGTGAAATGAGAAATGTTAATTCCACGGAAATATTAAGAGGTTCAATGAAACTAGTCATTTTCCCCCCAAGTAGCACTGTAAGTAAGTAATCTGGACAGCAACCTGGAGGATGGTAGTTTAATCTAGTGCATGCAGTACTATCCCTGCCCACGTCAGGAAGTTCCCCTTCACTGTCAGGAAGTTCTTCATGGTGGCTTGCCTTGTAAACAATCAGGCCAGATCGAGTCTTTAACTAGTTGTAGTTAGTAATGGCTCTGCAGAATGTTCATGTTGTACCTCTGCCTGCCTGATGGATGGTGCTCTGCCAGTATCCACACAGACAAGTGATAGTCCTGTTACCTGAATCACCTACCATGTACGTACCTCACACAATCTGCATTCTCTATTGCTGTGTGCTTGGAAAGAAATCAAAATCAGAGCATTGGGAAGAAGAGGACCAAACACATACTGACAAATGGGCTTTGCAGGAGTCTTATTCAAACTGGATTTTATTAGTCCAGAAGAGAAAGAAAGATGAAGTTAGCTAACTGCAAAAAAAAAAATGACTAAGGGGTGTGCCTAAAATTTTGAATCCAAACTTGTTATCTCCTGCCCTTCTTGTTCAAGCAGAAGGACCTTGGTCTTCCCTTTGACTACACATCCTGTGTGGCCAGGTGTTTGTTGTCTAATGTTCTTCAGAATAATACCATAGGTCATGCTCTTCAATCCTTAGGCCTCTCTGCCCCAAAGCCTAGCTCCTCAGTTACAGATGGGAAAGATTTTAGAATATCAGTAATGTTTTGGTCTTTGTAGAAAATAAACTCATTTGCCTCTTTCTTTTCCTTTCAGGTACCTTCTCAAACCAGATTTCATGAGGCGGCCTGATAGGACATTTGATCCCTTCTCCGAAACCCCTGTGGATGGGGTCATTGCAGCCACTTGCTCAGTGCAGGTAACAGTCCCTCTCCATCACAGGTTATGTAAATGTGAATACGTATACAAATGACCTGGGATATCATACTTCAAATATTTAATGTCAAGCTGAAGTGTCTTATATTGTTCTCAAGTTTAACTTAAAACATCCTTTTTGTATATGAGACATCTCTTTGCACTGGTAACGTTTTGTGCTACTTTGGATGAAACTCAGAATCATAAAAGTATCTACTATCTATTACATTTATTTAAAAATTCTGGAAAATATGAGCAACAGTGACAAAATAAATCGGTGGTTTCCTCTAGACAGAGATAGGTTTAAAAAGCACCAAAAAAGAAAAAGAAAGTCAGTGTACAATGGAGATACATGCTGCACTAGTCACAAAAGCCAGACTGAAGAATCAGCTTAGATGCCCATCTACTGATAAAGAAAATTATATATGCACACATGTATAATAACACATATGTCTATATGTATGTAATTAGCATGTAGAGTTGTGTGTAGATACTATATATGTGTGTAATATGTGTATATGTATATATGTGTATACATATGTATTTATATACCATATATATAAATGTATACACACAATGGGTTATTATTCAACTATAAAGAGGAATGAAATTAAGTCATTTGCAGAAAAAAATGGATGGAATTGGAGAGATCGTCAAACTAAGCAAATTAATCTGAGCTCAGAGAGACAAATATTATATATTTTCTCTTATATGTATGTGAAATCTAGACCTAAAACAAATCATTAAATAGACCATGAATATAGAAGGGGCACATTTTTGAGAAGAAACAAAGGGAGCAAAGGGGCAAAACCATGATGCAGGGTGAATATCACTGAAGCACACTACATCCAGAAACAGTAAAATTGTAAAAGGTTAGGGAAGAAGGAGAAGAAAGAATTCTAAAGGGGATAAATATAATTAATGCGAAATAAACACATGTATGGAAATGCTACCATAAAACCCCTCCATTTAATTAGTACACACTAATTAGAAACAAAAGGTCCCAAAGAAACCTTTGGAGGTGATAGAAATGCTTATGATTTTATAGATGTGTTTACTTGTGAAAATTGATCTGAGTGTATACTTTGTATATGAAGTTTATATCAGTTTTACCTTAAAAAACATTTTTTCAGACTTTTTAGCTATGATAACTTGAGCAAACTGAGAAATTGCTATAGTCATTTGGACGATAAATGAAAGATAATCACTCTATAGCATTATAGGAGATAGAATTAACAGCAGTTTGTACAAAACACTGTCAAAACTAGCCAGTGTACATGTCACAGAAAAAAAAAAAGGACAGTGATGCTATAGGTTCTTTTTCTTTGTGTTGTATGATCCATTCTTTTTTCTAGACAGTTTTAGGTAATGAGACTTCTGCCTAGACAGTTTTTGCATATACTAGTTACTCAACCATGAATTGGCTTAATAACAAATTAATGCAGTATTCAATTTGTGAATTAAAAAAATTCCCCCATCAAACAGAATGCTATATTTCTCAATTACTCTTCATCTCTGATCGTTACACATAGCTCACTTTTCTCTCTTCTGTCCATGGATCTGCAGGTCATATCAGGGCAATTCTTATCAGATAAGAAAATTGGCACGTATGTAGAAGTGGATATGTATGGGCTGCCCACTGACACTATACGGAAAGAATTTCGAACTCGCATGGTTATGAACAATGGACTCAATCCAGTTTACAATGAAGAATCATTTGTGTTTCGGAAGGTAGTGTATTATCAATGTGTCAAAGTTATTCTAATGACTTTGGGAGCTGTGTTTAGTGTCTAACACTTAGATGCATTGGGATAGATATTCAACCTATAATATCTTCTTTTTCCCTCCTCCTTTTTTTTTGGTTGGACATGGGGCTTGAGCTCTGGGCCTGGGCACTGTCCCTGAGCTTTTCAGCTCAAGGCAAGAGCTCTACCACTTGAGCCACAGTGCAACTTCAGGCTTTCTGGTGGTTAATTGGAGATAAGAGTCTGATGGACTTTCCTAACCCCGGCAGGCATTGAACCACGATCCTCAGATCTCAGCCTCCTGAGTAGCTAGGATTACAGGTGTGAGCCACCAGTGCCTGGCTTTTCCCTCCTTCTAATAGATAATTCTTGTAGCTATTATATGATTATTTTTTTCGGTTGGGCCCATTTTGACTCTCCTTTCCCTCTTCCCATGTGGCAATGCCCAGGTTCCAGGTTTGCACTCTCATTAGTGTGTATCCTGGTAGGTAGATACCCTCACATACTGCACGGTTTTCCCTTGGATGTAACATGTTCTCTTCCCTTATCCAAGAAGTCAGGCAAGATGTTACATCCAAACTAAGACCAGTAAATATCATATGGGGTTTGTTTTCCCTAATTTATATTTTTTGCGGTTCTTTTCTTTCTTTCTCTCATTTTTATTTTTATTTTGCAGTTTCTTGTTGCTGGATCTGTTGCTTGTATGGAATAGTACTTTGGGGCATAATGAATATTATTATTCATGACATGTATTTCTAGAAATGCAGAACGTTTTCTCCGCATTTTGATATAAATAAAGAAATATCCCACTTGTTTTCTTTATGTAATATTTCTGATCCCAAAAACAAAATGCCACTGTTCTCCAGAGTTCAGTCTTCACTGTTCTTAAGAATTTAAAGTGCCTTTCCCTGTTATCAGGATCTTGGCTTTTGTCTACTTTCTTCATATTAATTGTTGGTTTTGCTTTTTGCGTGAATGTCACTAGGCAAAAGTGACAAAGGCCAAGGCCCTCCTTCACTACATGAGGAAGAAGAATGTGGGAAGTTGTCTGAATTTGAGTTAGATTTCTTTTCATCTGTGCAAAGCAGGAATTAAATAACATCTCCATATGTAAGGCCAGCAACTCGTTGTATAACCTTAAACACAGTACTCAGGTCAGCCAAGATGCGCTGATTGTTCTTAGCCAATAAAAATATTCTTGAGTTAGCAAATTGGATTTTCTTTTTTTATGTTACATTTTTCTGTCTTAATAGGGACTCTGTCATATAGGAACTCAGATTTTATGTCCATTCATTCAGTATATGGATGGCAAGAACAGATGCCTTTGAATCAATGTTTATTAATGTGCTTATCTTACTCTTCTTCTAATTAATATCCCAAAATGTGTCCAAAACATTGAGTGCAAGAAATAATGACAGTGTAAAAAAAATAATGACAGTGTAAAGCCAGATGCCAGTGGTTTTTGCCTGTAATACTAGCTAAAGCTGAGATTAAGTGGAGGATTGTGGCTCAAGGCCAGCTTTAGAAAAAATGTCTATGAGACTCTACTGCCAAAATGACCAGTGAAAAAGCAGGACAATACTGCCAAATAAACAACAAAAAAGGGCAATCTAATTTAACATATAAATATGTTCAGATATGAAACATTTCTTCATATATGCTGATATTTTAAAATATTGATTTAAAGCTAGGAATATGGCTTAGTGGTAGAGTGCTCACCTAGTCTGCATGAAGCCCTGGGTTCAATTCCTCAGTATCACATACACAGAAAAAGCTGGAAGTAGCTCTGTGTCTCAAGTGGTAGAGTGTTAGCTTTGAGCAAAAAAAGCTTAGGGACAGTGCCCACACCCTGAGTTTAAGCTCTAGGACTGGGAAGCAAATAAAACAAAACAAAACATTGATTTAAACATCAATATTGATATTTAAAAATAACCAAAGCAAAATGCCAGCACATGTAACAGGTAGACTCCAGGATCAGAAGAGCCCCATTTCTCATCCCTGCTCAAGCACTGACCATCTCTAAGATTGGACACCTTCATTTTACCCATAGAGTGGGGTAGAGAAATAGGATAAGGGTTGGAGTCATTACCTAAAACAGTCCATCTTTTTTTGCTTTCCTCATTTTGGAATAGATTGGTGTGTGTGTGTGTGTGTGTGTGTGTGTGTGAGAGAGAGAGAGAGAGAGAGAGAGAGAGACAGACAGACAGACAGACAGACAGACAGACAGATAGACAGACAGAGACAGAGACAGAAATAACATCTCAAGTAGGTTGGCCTCAAATTTGCAATCTTCCAACATCTATTTCCTGAATGCTAGGATTATAAATGTGAATGCCATACATACCAGGCTAAGTAACATTTTTTATGGGTTAATTTCCAGGAAACCTATGTCAGCTATTGGGCATCATAGCTTACATAGCATACTTTAGGAACGCAAACGGTTGCTGGATTTATTTTAATCAGAAAAGAGTATTGAAAACCAATAGGGATTTGGTTCAGAGTCCTAGATTCATGATTCTTGGAGGCTGCATGACTAAAACCAGTGAAAGGCCCTGTTCTTTGTTTCCAGGTGATCCTACCTGACCTGGCTGTTTTGAGAATAGCAGTGTATGATGACAACAACAGGCTGATTGGCCAGAGGATCCTCCCTCTGGATGGCCTCCAGGCAGGCTACCGACACATTTCCCTTCGGAATGAGGGAAACAAACCTTTATCACTGCCAACAATTTTTTGCAATATTGTTCTTAAAACATACGTTCCTGATGGATTTGGAGGTAAGAAAACTTTTGCGTATAGTATATGACATATGTGAGATTCAACTACAGGATGAGAAGACTTACTTTTCTCCCATGCTTGAAAGTGGCATCTCACCCTGCCAGTGCAGATCACCCTGTGACTTAAAGAAGTCAAGAGTAGAGTAACCTCAGGTTTCCAAGAACAAGTGAAAGATCAAACTTAGATTGTTTTCAAGTCTGTTCTTACTTCAAAATATTACAGTTTTATGCTATTTATCATTTTTACAAGTAATGTGTTACAAAGGGAAGAGTTATATATATTATTGTAAAGGTGATGTACAGAGGGGTTACAGTTACATAAGTAAGGTAATGAGTACATTTCTGTTTTAACAGTGTTATCCCCTCCCTCATTTTCTCCTGCTTTTCTTCCTCCCCTGAATCCCCTCACCCCCACATTGTAAAGTTCATTTCTAACATACTGTCTAATAAATATTGCCTCACCATAAAGGGAAGATTTATACTGCCACTAAAAGTAGGAAAAAATAGTGTGAAACTGTATCTTATTAATTGATATCACTAAAAGATTTAAACTTGGGCTGGGGAGGTGACTCAGTGGTAGAGTGCTTGCCTTGCATGCGTGAGGCTCTGGGTTCGATTCCTCAGCACCACATAAACAGAAAAATCCAGAAGTGGCTCAAGTGGTAGAGCGCTACCCTTGAGCTGAGGAACTGAGGGACAGCGCCCAGGCCCAGAGTTCAAGCCCCAGAACCGGACCAAAAAAACAAAAAGATTTAGACTCCAAGGTTGCTATCATGCCTGAATTTCCCTCCATATCCACAACAGAGTTCAGTTGAATTAAAGAACCAAGTCATTGGCCAGGGAGCACGGAGAGGGGGTGGCGGTGGCGGTGGCTTGTGCCTGTCTTCCTAGCTACTTAGGAGGCTAAGATCTGAGGATTGCAGTTCAAAGCCAACCAGGCAGGAAAGTCTTAGACTCTTATCGCCAATAAAATATCAAAAAGCTGAAAGTGGAGCTGTGACCCAAATGGCAGAGTACTAGCCTTGATCACACAAGCTAAATGGCAGCACCCCGTGCCCTGAGTTCAAGGCCTAAGACTGGCATCAAAACAAAACGACCATGAACAACAACAAAAAACAGTCAGCAATCTACCTTGGCCTTACTGAGATGACAAATGGGAAAAACTCAAAACTAGATCAAGTCATAGGATTTTGTTCACAAAAACATATCACATTTTGTAGCTGACAATCATATAGTAACAGTGAAAGAAAGACACAGAAGCCCTTCTGTCCTTAGAATTTATTGGACTGCTGGGAAACAGAGCAGTGCAACTGTATCAACTTAGCCCAAGGTTCAAATCCTCACTCCGCACTGCTGGCCTGGTGATGATGATACAACCTCGCAAACCCTTCATTTCCTCACCTGCAGAGGAAGAAAGACACAGTCTGGTTAAGTGCTCAGTACAGGACACAAGAGAGCAAGATTTAAAAATACTTGTGTGTCTGTAAAGATAAGATTCCTACACCGTGCTGAAACGCATCACCAGATTGTTTTTCATTGAAGAAGAAACCATAGTAGATGCTGTGGCGGACAGTAAGGGTTAGGATAAAAGCATCCATAATAGAGGCTTGAAGATTCAGCAGATGATAAAATCATGTCCTGTGTATCTGAGCTTAAAAAGCAAGAAGTAAAGAAAGAGGTGACATTGTCCAAAAAGAGATGTACTCTGTATCTGACATATGTAACTGTAAGCCTTCTGTAAATCACCTTTACAATAATAATAAATAAAAAATAATAAAGCAGAAAGTAGGACGTGCATACTAAATGTCTAATAGTTCATAAGCCCTAACAGGAGGAAATGCAAAAATTTCGCCTCTGCAATGGGTTAAATTTCTAGTGAAACTATTAATTTTTCATGGGAAATAAGCCATTTTCTTTTTTAAAAAGGGGGGGGGGGGACTGTTTGTTGAGCACCTACTTTTTTGCCAGGCACTTACATAAAGGGAGTAAAAAAAATATGAACTTGTTCTGAATGGATGTGGGTGTGTATAGATAGACATTGAAGAAATATCTGTATTCTTAAGTCCAACTTAACTGCCAGTGTTGATATTTAGGTCTGATACAAATTAATCTCCATAACGATCATCTTGCAAGTATTCTTTCCTGACATGCCACTGAGGCTGCTTCCAGTCTTACCAGAAGTTTTGGAAATACTTGCCCTGTGTTTAACATGACTCAGCAGCCAGTGTCTTAATCTCAGGTTTGATATTGAAAGACAGTTGATTGAGAATTCTCTAGTCATCTCTTTGATATCTGAAGAAATGAAAGGCATGGAAAGGGGTTGAGAGGTCTTACCTGAAAATAATGGGAAAAAAGAATATGAGGATTCTCTTTTTCTAAATTTTTTTATCTTACATCCTTTTCACTTAAACAATGTGTCCATATTTTATCTCTGAAGCTAACGTTCCACATTCAGTCTGCTTCCATATTGAACCCCTGGAGGTTCAATCTATAGTCTGGGTTTTCCTAGTATCTTGATATCCTGCTGATTGCAAGTCCAAAATGAAGCCATACCATCTCACTCGAGAAATTTCTAGAAAAATAACGCTATTCATATGCATTAGAATTCTGTGTGGATAATGAAGATTCATTACTTCACAAATATGTATGGCAGGTTTATTCCGTAAAAGATAAGGTAGCTAGAAAGAATATCACTGATTCTGTTAGCACAAAAAATAGAATAGGAGTTACCCACAAATCCTCCACCCAGAGGAAAGGACTGTCTTCTTCCAATCTCATTTCTTTTTCTATTTTTTTATTGGTTACTTATTTGTATTGCTGAGGACTGAGCCCACAACTTTGTGCATGCTAGGCAAACATTCTACCAGTATGCTATTCCCCAAGAATAGCTAGGATTTTTTATTTTAATTTTGAGACACATTCTTGTTATCAAACATAATCTCAAATTTGTGATCATCCTGCCAGTGGTTGGGACTGCAGGCATGAGCCAACACACCTGGATTCTATTTTACTTTGGGATTAAAATTGCATCTTACTGTTCACACTCATGTTAGTTTTCTTCATATAACTGAGAACTTATTTCTCCCCATATCATGAGATGCCTTTTTTATTTTTATCAGCTGCATAAGATCCCACTTTATATATCCCTTAATTTGGCTATTGAGACTGAAGGCATTATTTTCATAGTCTAAGCAATATTCTGAACAATACTGTACCTAAGAAATCTCAATATAAAGTCTAGCAAATGTTTGTCATCATTTCTTAGCAATAAATTCCTTGAAATAGATTTATCACACAAAGGAGTATATATTTACTTAAAGCTTTGGGTTCAGATTGCCAAATAACTATTATGTGGTAAAGGTGTTTTTTTTTAAACAGTTTAATCAGTAAAACAGTATTTCTTTGGTGTATAGATTTAGAAAATAATTTCTTAAAAGATATAATGAGCAATCATTATGTGGTACCTTCATAGCAACTCTGTAAAAATGCTGTAGGGTGTCTATTTATCCTTGAATAAGTTATACAATTCACTCTTATTGCTCTTCGAGAAGCCCAGTGATACCAGCAGTTCCCCTACCCTATAATTGAGTATCAGATAGACTCTTGGAACAGTGTTGACTATAGCATCCCTCTTTATTAAAATTTTTATTTAGGATTAGCGAGCTAAAGAAAAAAATGTCTACCAGATCTAAATTCATCACCTCATCTTACATTTTAGTTTGTGTAAAATGCCAGCAGTAAATAATTGTGCAATAAACAATTCATCATCCTAAGAAAAGTCCCTTAATCCAATGCCTTTCTAAGAAATTTGAGAATTCTTAATACATGAGTGATGTAAGATTTTTTATTAAGTAGCAGCGGTTCTATTTCCCAAATGATTTTACAACTTATTTTGACTCAGTAATGTCATATGGGTGGCAACATTTTATATAAATAAGGGGAAAAATGTTCTTATGGCTTTCCATGTTAAGATAATTCCATAGAAAAGGTATGGGCATTTATAGGAGTTTCTGGCCACTTTTTTTTTCATGGAAGGGGTGGGGGCGTTTTGCTCTCTGTAGTCAACATATGGTGACATATGCTGTGTTTGCAATAGCTCATAATTAATCCTGCCCTCCTGCATCTGAGGCTCTTCAGAGACAGTGTACTCTGGTTGTCCCAACACCATCTCAGCACAGGGTAGGTTTAGAGCCCAGTGCTACCCTCTGACTTTGTTCCCACAGCCTATGCCCCTTGCTCACCACTCAGGAAACAGAAGCAGGGATTTTATTGCACCTGATTCTCCTCATTACTACAGTGTAATTACTCCCCACAAAGAAATGACAGAGCAATGATGGTGTCTTATTCCTTTTCTTTTTTCTCTCTAGCAGAACACCTGAGATTGGGTAATTTATAAGTCCTGCTGCTGTCCACCATGGTGGAACAGCAGAAAAGCCAGTGGGAGAGGAGAGGGACAAGGGACCTGCTCTCAAGATAACTAACCTACTCTTTCCTGGACTAAATTAATCTTTTAATGAGAGCGGAGCCCCCAGGACACAAGGACATCTTTAAAGCTCCTGCCTTTCACTGGCATTACCTTGGCAATGAAATTGCATCATGAGTTTCAGCAGGGAACAACCCACATCCAAACTATGGCAGTTGGTTACCATGACCTTCTGAACTCTTTCCAGAGTTCTGTTCCACAGCAGAAATGTCTCAGGGTTAAAGAACATTGAGGAACTGCTTTTCAGAAAGTAAATTTTGACAGAGAGAAAATAGTAACACGTAGAAGAGAAATGACTTGGAATAAATCAAGCTTTGGTTTAATTCATGTGATTTTTTTCATGTTGAACACAAAGAAAAAGAATATTGTTTGTCACTCTCACATTCAAGCCTAAAATTAAAATACAAGCCAGGCTCCAGTGGCTCTCTCATTTGTAATCCTAGCGACTCAGGAGGCTGAGATCTGAAGATTGCTGTTCAAAGCCAGCTCAAGCAGGAAAGTCTATAAGATTCATATC